TAGTGTACGACTATTTTATTCTAGTTAAAATCTTTTTTCAATAGTGATGAACATTTACGAATGGACCGCGCATTCAAACTGTGACTGTATGTTGATGCATATTATGGGATTGTAAATAAATAAAATACAACAACAGACTGTTCGATAGTGGAATGCCACTAAGATGTATTTAGTATTCCTATATGATTGTGAGTAACATGATAATTTCGTGTGAGTTTACTTGTAAGCAAATATTTTTTTAATGATTAATTAAAACACAATAATGACTGCTATCAGTTCTATCTATTGTTATAATAATAAGTTAATTAGTTTTGTAATGGTTTACTGTTATATCTCATAGATAAGAGAGAGTTACTTACTTACTTACGCCTGCTGCTCCCAGTGGAGCATAGGCTGCCCACCAGCAGCATTCTCCAACCAACTCTGTACTGGGCTTCCCTTTCCAGTTCTGATCAATTTTTGTTTATTCTTCGCATATATTTCTATATTTCTCGGCGTAATGTGTTCCTTGGCCTTCCTCTTTTCCTTTTGCCTCGAGGGTTCCATGTGAGGACTTGTCTTGTGACCCAGTTAGGTGCTATTCGTAATGTGTGTCCTATCCATCAACTCCACCACTTCTTTCTGATTTCCTCCTCCACTGGAATCTGGTTTGTTCTCTCCCACAGTTCGTTGTTGCTGATGGTGTCTGGCCAACGAATCCGAAGTATTTTGCGTAGACAACTGTTAATAAACACTTGTATCTTCTGGATGATGGCTTTGTTAGTTCTCCAAGTTTCCGCTCCAGTAGAACAGTAGAACTGTCTTGACATTTGTATTGAAAATCCTGATTTTGGTTTTTTTGGTAGAAAGTTGTTTGGAGTTCCAGATATTTTTCAGTTGTAGAAATTCAGCCCTTACTTTGCCAATCCGCGCCCTCACCTCTGCATCGTATCCAACTTGGTTGTCGATTTGGTTTTGAGTAGTATGGTCCGGTCAAATCCACGTAGCTTAGTGTATGCGTTTGTGCGAGAATATTTTGCCATCGATGACCAGTTTGTTGAAGGCACATAGGTTTGCAAATCTCTCACCATTTTCGTTCTCTTCTCCCAGTCCACCTCGTCCCATGATGTCTTCACATCCAGTGTTGTCCATACCAACCTTGGCATTCAGGTCTCCCATAAGAATCGTCAAATCCTTTGGTGCACATCTGTCGACGATTGACTACAGCCTTTCGTAGAATTGATCTTTGACGTCGTCATTGTAGTCATTGGTAGGTGCATAACATTGGATGACGTTCATTGTAATGTCCTGTTTCATTGTTTTGAAGGATGCATCAATAATCCTGGGTTCATGAGATTCCCATCCTATTAGTGCCTTTTGTGCTTGTTTGGACAACATCAGTGCAACTCCTTGTGTATGTGAAGCATTTCCCTCTTCATGACCAGAGTATAACAGCAGTTCCCCTGAAGCTAGTCTCAGTTATCCTACCTGTGTGCAATGCGTTTCACTGATGCCGAGCACCTCGAGGTTGTATCTTTTCATTTCTGCCGCAACTTGAAATAGTCTTCCAGTCTCCCACAATGTACGAACTTTTCATGTACCTAAAAGAATGGTTGCTCTGGTTGTCAGAATAGGCATCGGCCTCGTGACTTCCGAGGGAACTCGGCTTTCATCACGCGACGTCATAATTCTTCTTCCGACTCCCAGGGCAGAGTTAAAATGGTTTGAATTATTTTTTCTGGTTAGCGTTTTTTGGCAAGTGAGATTTCGACGGAATGGGGGCGCCAACCCAATGACCAACCCCTCTTCCTTTATCCGGGCCTGGGACCGGCAGTAGCCCCGAAGGGTCTACAGGTGGAGTTTAAGAGAGAGTTGATCATGATTAATATCCAAAGAGTACAATACTGGTTTATTAAATCAAAGTTCATTGGTGTCAAAACCACATTTTACAGTTAATACAATGAAACAACCAGAATAATTGTATTGCGGGGTTGTTGTGAAGATTGTTAAGTTTTATTTGTAACCATGAATCGATCAATGTTAGACCATCATTAGAAACCTGGAAGCACTGCTGATGAGTCCTATACCAGGACAAAACGGCCGTCTTTCATTGCTCCCAGATTTCTAATGGTGGTCTAACATTGATCGATTCATGGTTACAAACAGAATAATTGTTTTAAAGATCACGATAGGTGAAATTATTATCCTATTTAGAAGATGACAAATTGGTTCAGTGACAAAGAATAGTAGTGCCGCAATTGTTGGATATAAACTAGTCTATTTAAAAGTGATGCTATGGTAAAGTATTTCTGAGTCACCTTAAACAAACACGAATCAAGTGTTCAATGCTCTCTAGCTTTCAACAATCGTCTAGTAATTATCGATTCATGAAATACGCTGTTGATAAAATAAATAATCTGCCCAAACCTTGTAATAACAGTAATAATTCAAAAACCTTAACGTAATATGAATTGACCGGTGCTAAACATTGAAACCAATGAATTCGATTGGTAACTAAAGTTTGGATATAAACTTTCAAATAGTGAACGCTACATTAGATAACAAATAATAAGCAAAAAACAATGAGAGCTAATGAATGAGATTTATGGACAGCTTTCTTAAAATATTGAAATTATGAATCGATCAATGGTAGGTCATTATTTTAGAAACCTGAAAGTATTGAACGACCGTCAAGTCCTAGTATGCGACTCATCAGTAGTGAACATCTAAGCTCGCTCTTCAATGGAATTGAACCCAAGACTCTTGGCTTTGCGTGAGGACGCTTAACCTTCAAACCATTGGATCAGCATCAAGTGGTATCTTTGTCTAATTTTATTCAGCTACTGGTCTTGCGTGAACACATTCATTGTCTTTGATAGGCACTGTTTTATAGATGAAGGATTAAAATCTAACGGACATGACTTCTGATTAGAATTCCCCTAATTGGATTAAACGACCACCCAATGCTTTCAAGTCTCTTCTAATGATGATCTAAAATTGATAGGACCACAATTTCAATGCAAATCAACAATCTCCACATAATCCTATTGTAGTAAACGAGAACACAGGTGGGGCATCCGGATTGTAATTAACGACAATTACAGAGTTAATTGGTAAAATAGGAAAACCATATCGTAAATCGTTCATTTGCAAAATATCAGTTCATCATATCGAACTGGACTGTTCCTGTTGCAAAATATCACAATCCATTGTCACTATTCATGCATTTCATACAAATTCCATTGTGTCCTCACTCTTCTTCCTTTCTTGATCTTTCCCCATCTTCTGCTGCCAGACATTACGTTGACGCTCACGTCATATACTACTTATAAGTAGCTCACACCACACTATTATAAAAATTCTAAAAACATAATTGAACATTTAAAGTGCTGAAGAAATTCAAGTAAAAAAACACATTGAACATTTAACATTCAATAGTCAATATGTTGACACACATTAAATCCACATTTAAAAATTGACCACTCAAAATAATAATAATAATAATAATGCTGACGGTAATACAATGATATGAAGATTTTTACAGAAAAAAAAAACAAAAACTTTTCTCAAATTATAATTTATGAATGCAATAATAATAAAGATTCCATATCATATTTTAATATTGCCGCTATTAAGAAAATCAAATGTTTAGATAAATAAAAATTGAAATTTATGCGATGAGATAATATCGATATTTTGTGTAGCATACATCATAAATAATTTGAGACGTGAATGAAAGTTTTTTTTGAATGAACAGGGTGAAATAAAGAGGTGCAGAGACGGTTGATTTATCTATCATACTGAACTGATGCGAAGGATAGATTAAAATGACAAATTGACATCTCCTCAGTTTGTGTAAAACTAAACTACTTTCTCATTTTCTAGTAGTAGTGGTTTTTTTTCTTCAAATTTTTATTGAAAACGAAAAAATAAATGAGTTAATAGAGTTTAAAAATTAATACCTCAATTATTCAATAATGACTGAATCATTGTTATAACATCATTAGAAACCTGGACGACCTGGACGGTCGTCAAGTCCTCAGTAGCGATGCATCGGTAGTGCACATTCACGACTCATATAACTCGCAGGAGTTGAACTCAGGACCTGTACAAGAACTTAACCACTGGAGATCAGTCTTATCGTTTTGAGCAATCTCACTTATTGTCTTGGATATGTAACTGCTTAAACCCGATAGAGTCTAACTCCACTGTTTACAGCTTGTGATTAGAATTCCGAGAATTTCCTTTTGAACCTAGTCACTAGTGAGCAGCATTCTCCAACCAGCTCTGTCCTGGGATTCCCTCTCCAGTTCTGTCCAATGTTTGTTCATTCTTCTCATATCTTTCTCTATTTCTCGGCATAATGTGTTCTTTGACCTTCCTCTTCTCCTTTTACCTTGAGAGTTCCATGTGAGGACTTGTTTCGTGACGCAGTTCGGTGCTTTTCGTAGTGTGTGTTCTATACACTTCCAACGATTCTTCCTCATTTCCTCCTCCACTCGAATCTGGTTTGTTCTCTCCCACAGTAAGTTGTTGCTGATGGTGTCTGGCCAACGAATCCGAAATATTTTGCGTAGACAACTGTTCATAAACACTTGTATCTTCTGGATGATGGCTTTGTTAGTTCTCCAAGTTTCCGCTCCAGTAGAACAGTAGAACTGTCTTGACATTTGTATTGAAAATGCTGATTTTGGTTTTGGTTGAAAGTTGTTTGGCGTCCCAGATATTTTTCAGTTATAGAAATGCAGCCCTTGCTTTGCCGATCCACACCCTCACATCTGAATCGGATCCACCTTGCTCGCGTCGATGATGCTGCCAAGATATGAATAGGTGTTAAAAAAGATGGATCACTTTAAGTGAAAAGATGGCAGACAGAAAGAAGAATTTAGTCAGAAGAAGCAGAACACGAAAACCTGTTTGCTGTTTCCGGTTATTTTTTTATGATCACTTTAACTAGCATCGATCAATAAATTGTACTGTAGTGTAGGACAGGAAACTTCACATAAAAAAATGAATCAATTATGTTAATTCATACTAACATACAAACTAGTTAGTACACATCAACTTGATTTGTTCATTTCAGACATACTGAAAAATACTAATAATATGGTGAACGAAAACTCAGGTGAGGACATCAACATCTATATATATTAGCGAATATTACAGAGTTGTTAAGCATATGTACAAAACCTTCCCGCGAAACCTTCATCATTTGCAAACTAATCCTTATTTGTTTCAGATTTCACTGTTCTTTCATTTAGACTGTTCAAACTTCAGTTCAGTTTACGTTACGCACAAATAGCCTTCTGTTCTCATTCTTTCCTTCTCGATCTCTTACTGTCAGACGTTTGATATCATATACTACTTATGTGAACATAAGTAGCGTACACCACAATAATAATAAATGGTTATTTATGTTAAAAAAGAAGTATAACTGAAAGACGGTAACTTTTCCTACATATCATCAGTTAAAATCAAACTATTGAATTGATTGAAAAACTTGACAAATATCTCCGACCATGTTGTTGATGATAATTTATTGTAACTGATTTATTATTTATGTGAATAACTTGAGAAGTCGACAACATATTACAAAGATAATTATTAGTAGAAACTAAGTTGAATCAACAGACAGAGCTTACTAACTTACGTCTGTCACCCCCAATGGAACATAGGTAGCCGACCAATATTCTGTAACCTACTCTGCCCATTGCCTCCCTTTCCAGTTCTGTCCAATCTTTGTTCATTCCTCTCATATCTGTCTACATTAATCAGCATAACCTGTTCCTTGGCCTTCTTCTTCTCTTTTGACCTTGAGGGTTCCAAGTGAGGACTTGTCTTGAGATGCATTTGGGTGTTTTTTCAATGTGTGTCCTATTCACTTCCAGCGACTATTCCTGAATTCCTCCTCTACTGGAATCTGGTTTGTTCTATTCCATAGAAGATTGTTACTGATGATGGCTGGTCAGTCAATCCGAAGTATTTTTTACGTAGGCAACTGGTAATAAATACCTGTATCTTCTGGAGGATGAATTTGGTAGTTCTTTAAGTTTCCACCTCATACAGTAGAACTATCTTGACATTTATATTGAAAATGGTGACTTTGGTGTTGCATTGAAGTTTTTTTGAGTTCCAGATGTTTTAAAGTGGTAAAAATGTAGCCCTTGCTTCCTCGATCCACGTCCTCCAAGGCATCTCAGTCAAGTTTGATTTGGTTGACGCATGTTTTGTTGTATCGGAGAATCTTGCTTTTGCTTTTATGTATGTTGAGACCTACTGCTGCTGAGTCTGCTGCTACGCTGGTCTTCTTCTTTTGTATTTGTTCTTGCATGTTCTATGGATGAGACAGACCATCTAAGAAGTCTAGACCGTCCAACTGCATTCTGTCAGTCCACTGGAATCAACAGGGTGATTAGTAATTATCTTGATTTTTGGAAAAACATGAAATAACTTGTTTTAAATTAATATATCAAATAAAGTAGTAATAGGATGTGAGAAAAAGTGATTACAAGATGATAACACTGTTAGGGATGTTAGATCCCCAGAACTCGCTTGTTAAATGCCTTATTTCGTATTTCACGTTTGTGAGCATGGACTGATCAGTTGACCTTGAGATTTCATTTCCCTCTAGGAAAATCCTTGACTTTAATTGGCTGCTGTGTATTTTAGTGTGCTATTTTGCGCAACTGTCCGAAGGACGTTTCTATGATGTATAAATAAATGGGAGTTATGTGTTTGATTGTGTTGTGTGATTGCTGAGTGTTTGTAGAATATACTTTCTACGCTTACCAAGACTTCTGTTTTACCGCTTGAGATTGAATGTAGCCTACCTGGACGCTGGTTCATTGTCTCGTTCGCGTTTATTGACTAAGTTGAACTCGTAGTAGCTTCAAGCGTACCTAGTGACGAACCTAACAAATACATATGGAAAAAAAAATCATTTTCACATTAATTAATGAAGACTGATTAATGAAATACGTAGTTAAATGGGCATTCATTACAATAATCAATATTTGTACTGAATATTTTCTGATATAATTTATCATAGAGTCAGTCATAAATAAAATAATTAATTTCGAATATATGTGTAATGACTACTAACGAGTTCCACAATGAAATTTCTAACTTGTTAAAAACTTATTATAAATGGATGTGCGCCATCTCAATGTTGCGCAGTTCACACATGAAAAAAAACAGTGGCTTACACATTCACCCAATTATTATTACTGAACTATTGAGTGCTATGACAGACACTGGATTATGGAACAACGATCAATGAGCAGAATTCATTTGTAATGGTTTGTATTCACTGTTGCTTGTTGTAACCAAAAAAAGTAATCTTTATAACACATAAACTTTTGAGTAAAACGGAAAGATTTTTTAGCTTTTGATTTATAGTATTCGTTTCTTGTTATTTAAATCTATTAAGTAGAAAAAAACTGTTTGATTTAAATGGTACTCACTAGTGAATAACTTCGTAATGAAATTCTAAGAGTTCTAGTGAGAAGTCGCCATCAGTGGAACTCTACCATGTCGGGTTTAGGATGTAACTACCAGAGACAAATCCTTAGATTGATCAGTGGTAGACATTAACACCGTTGGATGAAGGCTCCAGTGTGTTGGGGACGTTAGATCTCCAGAACTCACTTGATAAAGGTCCTAATTTTAGATTATATTCATGGGTTGATCAGTTGACCTTGAGATCACATTTTCCAACTGGAAAATCCTTGACTTTGTGACTCTCCCAACGACGTTTCTATCATGTAAAAAAAGCTCATTTTAAGTGCTCTTGAACCTCATATAATCTCGGTGCTTGTGGAATACACTTTCTACGTCATATCAATACTTTTGATATCGTTAACAGGGCTGGAGACAATTGAATTAGAATAGCTCATCGTATCGCTGGATCATCTGTTTTCGCTCTGGTTTACTGAGTTAGGTGAACTCGTAATAACATTCAAGCATATCAATTGACGATCATAACACACTGGTCCAGAGATTAGGCGTTTGCGCACAAGATATTACAAGGTATTCGGTTCGAGTCCAGCAAGAGAAGCAGGTGTTATGGATGCTCACTGTCACTGATGAGTAGTCCTATGCCAGGACGAAACGGCCATCTAATAGCCCCTCCAAGTTTCTAATGCTATTCTAACATCGATCGATTCATGATTTCAATATGTCCAAAAAAACACTGATTTCCATAACCCTATTTGAAAAAAAAATAATTTTTAAAATACAATTAATTACAAATTGTTGAATTTCGAATGGAAATGAAGTTGAATTCTATTTACAAAATTTACATATTGTCAAATATGGAGGAGAGAAATCAAAAAAACCCCACTGAAGGTGTTATAAACATTTCCAATGAGAACATTATTTATGGTGTAGAAATATATATATATATATATATATATATATATATTAGTAACTAGTAGGGAATTAATTGTATAGAATGTTTATTTCGACTTGTCAGCTAAATATGCCTGTAATCTCATTTGCAGTTCACTCTGGTACATTTTGCCTGTAAAATACCAACATGTTATAATGTCTACTGTACTTACTTACTTACTTTCGCCTGTTACCCCCAATGGAGCATAGGCCGCCCACCAGTTTTCTCCAACCAACTCTGTCCTGGGCTTCCTCCTCCAGTTCTGTCCAATGTTTGTTCATTCTTCTCATATCTTTCTCTATTTCTCGGCGTAATGTATTCCTTGGCCTTCCTCTTTTCCTTTTGCCTTGAGAGTTCCATGTGAGGGCTTGTCTCGTGACGCAGTTAGGTGCTTTTCGTAGTGTGTGTCCTATCCACTTCCACCAACACTTCTTCCTGATTTCCTCCTCCACTGGAATCTGGTTTTTTCTCTCCCACAGTTCGTTGTTGCTGTACCAGAGAACAAAAACAGTCTAACTAAACAAAACTTGTAATTAATGATAGAGAGAGAAAGAGAGAGTGAGATTCTTTTAATTATCCAAATTAATTATTAGTTATCAGATATAAATAGGACATATACTACTAATATACGCATATACAATTTCACATACCAACCACTATCCTGAAGAATCAATTATCAAGAGAGAGAAACATTTTTAAACATAAAAAAAGAAAAATAATACCTTCCGGTAGATAAGAAGCACTTATCTTCTTACTTTCTCTCTCTTTACACGTAAACAATGAGAAATGATATCATAAAACAACGTTTTAACATGAGCATAATGTATATATACAGTATAATTATTAGTTTCTCATGATGAAATACATTATTTTTCTTTCAAAAACATTGAATAAATTTTTAAAATTTGCGACACATTTTGAAACCATGAGTCGATCAATCTTAGAGAGAGAGAGACTAGCGTTAGAAAGCAGGAAGCATTGAAAGACGGCTGTTTTAGTCCTGGTATGGAACCATTCATCAGAAATGCGCATCCACGACTTCTGTACACGACAGGATTCGAACCCAGGACCTTGGGTATTTTGAGTGAACGCCTAACCTAGGCTCACGAGTGACTAGCTTCGTGAGGAATCTTCTCCGAGTTCTAGTGGGAAGACGTGACCAGTGAAGTTCAACCTGTTCGGGTGTAGACAGTAACTACTACTACCGAAGACTGTGTATGAGGTTGCGCAACTCCGTGAATTTGATCAAGTTAGACATTAACGCCGCTAGATACCGGCTCATTGGTCCGATGGTTAGGCGTTCGCGTGCAAGACCCAAGGTCCTGGTTTCGAATCGTTCGGGGTGCAGGAGTCGTGGATGCGCACTGCCACTGATGAGTCCCGTACCAGGACGAAGCGGCAGTCCAGTGCTTCCAGGTTTCTAACGCTGGTCTCTCTAACACTGATCGACTCATGGTTTCAAAATGTGTAACTTAACAATCTTCTCAACCCCGTAATGCAATTTAAAATTTGTATCAATAGAAAATAATGATTGAACTAATTATTTATAATTATAATCAACATAGTATTTTAGATTTTTTCGTATGCTACAAAAACAGCGATTAAGAAAATGTGTTATACACTATCTTGATATTTTTTTGTTGTGAATATAATAATTATTGTCATAACAGAATGGAAAGAAAAATTGAACATTGATCACCATTCAATGATGAGTTGAATTGTAAAGATTGAAATTTTTTTAATGATCACATACATTTGAATATAATCATGGTTACTTAGAATTTAATGAATACAATTAAAACCGAACTATTTATTCACTCGTTTTTCTTTGTACTTTGTATAAATTCGAAACTAGACAGAATATCTAGTTAGTTAAGTGAATTGGTTCTTGTTTTTACTCAAAATGTTATGATTATGGAGGAGTTTCGATTGTGGAGCATTTATTGTTCTTCTGAACAACGTCCTCTGCACAAACTTCAGGGAGCAATGATGTATTCGAAATTCTCCTCAAATATACCTTGTACCTTGTCCTGTTGACTTTGATCTTCGTTGAACTTTAACCTGTCGTTGTTTGCGCCAATCACAATAAATGTCCAATAACAAACAGTCAGGATCAAGGTCAACAGGACAAGCTATGAGTCATATGTGGAGAAATTCAAATACTTCACTTCTATTTGAAGTTTGTGCATAGGATATTGTTCAGAAGAACAATAAAACGGCCACAACCAAAACAACACCCACCTCAGAGAACCAAACTCCATGACAATCATCCGCCTGACCTACGAATTTTCTCCACCATCTCAAAATGATGTATATAAAAAAATTCGACATAAAAATGAATTATCACTCAATCATTTTTTTGAGGCACAGCTTTGGAGGTTTTGCGTTTTTTACACATTTGAAATCATCAGTCAATCATTGTTAGACCACCATTATAAACCTGGAAGCACTGGACGGCCGTCAAGTCCTGGTATGGGACTCATCAGCAGTGCGCATCCACGACTCCTGCACCCCACAGGATTCGAACCCGGGACCTGCGGCATTGTAGGCGAACGCCTTACTATCGGACCACTGGGCCGGCATCCAAAGGTGTTATTGTCTAGCTCTGATCGATCTAGGGGTTTTGCGCGTGCTTCCAGGTTTCCAATGGTGGTCTAACAATGATTGAATGTTAGACCACCATTAGAAACCTGGAAGTACTGAACGGCAGGAGTCTAGGATGCGCGCTGCTGATGAATCCCATACTAAGACGATCAATGAGATTGATTTACTGTTGTGCGATTTGAATAAAGTTGAATTTGGCGCCTGTTAGATTCTGCTGCTTTAATGCTTATTGCAGTATAGTTCTATTTACAAAGAACAAAAGATTTTAAGTATAATTCATTATATGTGTGATCACACGATTGGAAAAGTGATTTTTAATTGTCCCTTGTTAATTCATTTTATAAACTTTCAAATTTTATAAACTGGGTAATTGAATTAGGGAATGTTAAATTGTTATTTTGAATGAAATAAAGTAAAAAAAGTTGTAATTTAAAAATCTACCGCCAGGATCTTAAACAAGGCAACAATAAATTACATCACTAGTAAATTATCAAGATTACAGAAATGAATGTTATTCAGTGTTTGTAGTTGTAGTAAGATTCATTTTTTGAAGGTTTTGTTTGTGAAAATTCCCGCATGTATACTTTTGTAATAAGTCCTTATTGATTCTTTCAGTTGTACATTTTGTCAGTCTGTTCGATTCCATTTTGGGAATGATAATATTTGTATTTTATTATTATAGTTTCTATTTGTCTTGCCTTCACTGAGTTCCTATGTTTCTTTCTGAACTGCATTTATGTTGTTTAAACTGATACTTAATTATGGTGACAGCCATATTGATTTGTTTCTCTTTTGGCTGAAGTCATTGCACTGACTGGAAGTGTGAATTTTGATTGTGAACTGAAGCACACTTCCAGGATTGGAAACACTTTGTGTTATAAAGCGATCAAATATTATCTGTCGAACGAATCTGATCTATCCAGGAGGGATAGAATAACATTTATTTGTTACTGTTAATTTGATTAATTGAACAGTTGTTGAAAGAATAACTAAGTGGAAATATTCTTTTAGTTAATGATTTATATTTATGATGAATATAAACTGGGCAATAGCGCCTATCTAAACTACCTAGACAGTAGTTATTCCCCAGTTCAAACCTCAGTTTGGATCCTGCAGTAGTAAATAGCCTTTGAGAAATTCGATTAAATTAACAAGACATTACTTCATATTCACATGATATATTACTCTGCCTCTATAAATATACACACAAACGTTTTGCATTTTAAAATGCAAAGCTATGTCTTTAAATAAGCCAATCAAACAAACATACAGACAGTGATTATCTCACATTGTTGAACGAGTGTTATAATCAACGGTATTCAGTTGCAATGAACACTACATTAACAACAATAAGAACAAAATCTTTCTGCAACAATGTCCATATTGAAAATTGAACACTGAGTTTCCGGTTTGTAGCTTGATAGCATGAAATTAGCATATTTTTAAATTGTACGTTTACTTACTATGTTGTTTATTATTATTATTTTTTCTACATAGGACTACCATTAAAAATTGCTTCATTTTCTGGGAATGGTTTTATTTTTAATAAATTAACAAATCGTCCAATTACAAGTATTGAAGAACGAATTGAAATTGAATTTCAAACGAAACAATCCAATTCCAGTTTGTTTTGTGCAGGTAACTAACTAACTAACTAACTGGCCAATTAGAATGTTGTTTTATTGAAGTATTTAACTTGACCTTGGATGATTCATGTTGTTAAAAGTTTTGAAACATTCTAGTTGATTGAGAAAAGGGGCTCTATTAGTGAGTAAAGTTCAATTAAAAATGGTTGAGTTCGAAGAGAGCTGAATGTTTTTGATGCCAGTTGTTTTAATTACCTAAAAATGAATGAAACAAAAAGTGGCGGGACTATTGTGATTTTATTCCATTCTTCTCAGATTAGATGGTTTGAAGAAATCAACCATCAGGAAGCCTTGTCCTTAAGTATTGCGCTAGTTGGAAGTCAACAGAAACTTCGGGGGAACTGGTGACTCGCAGTAGGTTATAGGGGTTCCCGGCTACTAATGAGCTTAATTTTATTTTAGTGCCTACATGGATTTCTGGTTTTTCAAATGAACATGTTGATTTAAAGATCAAAAAAAAAATTAACTTGCGGTTTAGATGAAAGATGTTTTAAGGTTAATCAACGAATAAAATAAAACATATCATGAAATGTAAAATACTACTGAATCCTTGTTGTTAGTAACACATTAATGTGCAATAGAAGAAAATCGCTCATGTTTGCTTACTAAAAAAGTATTTATGTACAAGAGAATTTCATACCATAATAAGATATCTATATTTCCATCTTATGTGAATCAGTAAATAAGCTGATATTTTGACTTGAAATGTAGCTTTTTTGTAGATAATTTAATATAAGACTGTTGTATTGTTTATTCAAAGATTATTGTTTACTGTTTGACTGTTCAACGACGATGCTGAAATTACTACTGAAAACTGATCAATACCTAATTATATTGAAAGTTATCAATAAATAACTGAAGTATGGCAAAATATCTCAAAATAAAATATTTTATTAAAAGTTTTATATCTAACACACAACATCAGTGCAACTCCTTGTGAATGTGAGGCGCTTTCCTCCTCATGGCCGGAATACAACATCATCTTTCATGAAGCTAGTTCTTTTTTGTCCAGCCTGCGTTCAATGTGTTTCACTTATTTCAAGTACCACTAAATAACACTTTTTTTATTTACGGAGAAGCTTTCGGTCTCCTTCACCGTGAGAACATTCTATATACTTATATTAATTGTCGCTCTGGTTGTCATAATGGCCATCGAACTCGCGACTTCTGAAGAAACTCGGCTTTCATCATGAGGCGTCGTATCTCTTCTAAATAATGACCTCGAAACTCTAACGGCAGAGTTTAAATGGTTGGAATTATTTGTTCTGGTTAGCAATTTTTTAAGAAGCTTATTTTCTACGTTTACAGGATGAGGTTTGTAGTCCCATGCTCAATCCTCCTCCTCTATACGAGCTTAGGATTAGCAGTACACCCAGAAGGGCTACAGGTAGTAAGATATCAGATAAAGTGGTGAATATTTTAATTGTTCACAGAGATTGTCCGAATGGATAAGAATTGTAAACTGACTGAAATAATAAAATTCTGCAAATCTTACAATGTACTTACGCCTGTTAACCTCGACGGAACATAGGTTGCCAACTAGTATTACGATGAATGAAGACCTTCTAACTCCCAAGGTAGAGTTCAAATGGTGTGAATTATTTTTTCCGGTTAGCGTTTTTTTTAGCGAGTTTGATTCCTACGGGATGTGGTCATCAAGCCCATGCCCAGACCTGCTAAGAACTATGAGGAAAATCACAAATGGTTTGATGGATTGATTACAACAGTGCAAGATGTTTAAGATTTCTTTTCCAATCGATACATTGTCGTAACTACTGAAACTGAACTTAAAATAAGAAAACACACTGGAACTTTTCAAAGAAGTAAGGCAGAAAAAAAGAAGACATAAGCCAATGGAAGATGAATATTTCGTTCTCGATTTTACAGTATGAACTAAATATGCTAATTTATTTACAGAATTCGATGGTATTCAGTTACATACTTACTTACTCTTGTTACCTCTAGTGCGGCATAGGCCGCTGACCATTATTCTTTAATCTACTTTGTCCTGGACATTCCTTTCTAGTTCTGTCTAACTGTTGTTCATTCTTCTCATTTCTGTCTCCATATCTCAGCGTAATATGTTCCTTAGTTTACCTCTTTCCCTTTGACCTTGAGAATTCTAAGTGAGGATTTGTCTTGTAACGCAACTGGCTGATTGCCTCAATATGTATCCTACCAACCTCCAGTAGATTAATAACTAATCTATGAGTAGTATATATAAATGAATAAAAAAAACTATATTTTACACTGAGTTACAATCATTGAACATTGTACGCTAAATGAAAATACAAGAATATTGTACAAATAACACACTGATTTAATATATGATGCTTGATTCTATTCTATCCATTACAACTGCGTAAAAATAGACATGAGAAGTGTTAATTACACAATAATGTATCATTAATTATTTGCGAGAAGGTTGTTCAAATTTTCTCTGCATTTCAGCCGCAACATTAAACATGCATTACAAAAACAGAACAAATTTGATTATATATATATATATATATATATATATATATATATATATATATATATATATATATATATATATATATATATATATATATGCATTACGAGGTTGTGAAGATTGTTAGGTTACACATTTTTTTGAAACTATGAATCGATCAATGTTAGACCACCATTAGAAACCTGGAAGCACTGGACGGCCGTTTCGTCCTAGTATGGGACTCCTCAGCAGTGCGCATCCACGACTCCTGGTGGTCTAACATTGATCGATTCATGGTTTCAAAAAATGTGTAACTTAACAATCTTCACAACCCCGTAATGCAAATTACCTGTGCTCACTAGTGACTAGCTTCGTGAGGAATCTTCTTCGAGTTCTAGTGAGAAGACGTGACCAGTGAAGTTCAACCTGTTCGGGTGTAGGCAGTGTCTACCGAAGACTGTGTATGAGGTTGCGCAACTCCCTGAATTGATCAAGTTAGACATTAACACCATTAGATACTGGCTCAGTGGTCCGAGGGTTAGGCGTTAGCGCATAATACCGAAGCTCCTGTGCTGGAATCCTGCGGGGTGCAGGAGTCGTGGATGCGCACTCCTGATGAGTCCCATACCAGGACTTGACGGCCGTCTTGCAGTGGTTTCAGGTTCCTAATGGTGGTCTGGGACTGATCGATTTATGGTTTCAAAAAAAAATATATATATATATTTGACAAAAGTGTAGCTACAGAATTCAATTCAATTGTGAAGTGTTTAAATATTTCAATGTTCAATGTTTGTTTTTTTACCTTTTTAACTATAAGATTATTCAAACCTAATGAATGATTACTACTAATTAAAACAAATACTATTATATTTTTTTTTAAAAATTTATTTAATAATGAAAATAATTAACAATAATGTTTTTGATTTTAATTTTAAGATATTTTTTATAGATATTTTGACCTAAATAAACACTGTTTTCTTAATTTAAAAATTAAACTATTAAGATGATGAATTTCTTTTTTTTCTAAAATTTTTGTAAATATCATTATCTTCTTCATTTTGAATGAATTGTTTACACTGATTCCCTCCTGCAACATCTGTGTGTAGAACTATGAAATAGAATGTCAATAGAATGTGAATGGAAAAAAAACAAATGTGTTTCTTAGGTAAAAAAATTATTTTTTTTCAAGACAGGAATGACAAACAGATTGTTAGGAATTGAAGTTAAGAAAACAATAGAATACCACAGGCTAAATCACTCACTACTAAGGGTGATGATATCATGCTTGTTTATTCTTATCGTTCCCTCTCTCATACACACATTTTTTTTAAATAAAGCAATTGTCCATGTATAGAGGAGAATTAGGACTGATGTTTAATTTGTTCATGATTATTATAATGACCTACTTATAGTTAAACAATATTTTCCAAGAAAATTTTCTCAATTAAAAGAAGATAGGATACTTGAGTGGATTGTGTTCATGTATACTAAATATTCATCAAGCAATCATTGTTAGACCACCATTTGAAACCTGGAAGCTCTGAAGGACGGCCGTTTCGTCCCGGTATGGGACTCATCAGCAGTGCGCATCCACGACTCCTGCTCCTCGCAGCATTCGAACCCGGGAACTTTGGCATTGTAGGCGAACGCCTTACCATAGGACTTTGGGCCGGTATCCAACGGTGTTAATGCCTAACTCTGATTGATCTAGGGATTTTGCGCGACCTCACTGATGAGTCCCATACCAGGACGAAACGGCCGTCCAGTGCTTCCAGGTTTCTAATGGTAGTCTAGTAACAATGATTGATTGATGTGTTCAAATGTTAAAAACGACAACCTCTAAAACTGTACCCCAAAAAATACTAAATAATTTAATTGTTGAATTTGAGTAATTATACATTAGGAAAAACTTTATATTTAGAATTTAGTTTTACTAAACATTAATAAGTAATTAGAATACATAAGTCATTGCGTGGTGTGAGTTACTTATAAGTAGTACAATGACGTGAGTGTCAACGTATTGTCTAGCAGCAGAAGATTGGGGAAGATCAAGAAATGAAGAGTTAGAACACATTGGAATTTGTATGAAACGCATGAATCGTGACAATGAATTGATGTTTTGCAACAGGGACAGTCCAGTTCGATATGAGATGAACTGATATTTTGCAAATTAACAATTTACGATATGGTTTTCCTATTTTACTGAGTAACTCTGTAATTTTCCTTAAATACCATCAATTCGGTTGCCCCACCTGTATTTTCTCGTTCACTACAATTGTAGTAAGTACGCGTTGACTTGTAGCCATTTGTTATGCTCGTCAATTGATATACTTGAATGCTATTATGAGTTCACCTTAGTCGATAAACGAGAACGAGACAATGAACCAGTGACACGGCAAGCTACTCTAATCCGTTGTCGCAATTAACTGAAGAACAAATTTTGATATGGCGTAAAAAAGTGTATTCTACAAACACCCACTAAATACAATGAATTCAACCACACACAAATCGCGTTTATTTATACATCATAGAAAAGTACTTGGGAGAATCACAAAAATAGTGCAATAAAATAACACAGCAACCAATCATAGTCAAGGATTCTACTGGTGGGAAAAGTGATCTCAAGGTCAGCTGATCAGCCCATTTATCAAGTGAGTTCTGGGGATCGAACGTCCCCAACAAATTAAGAAGTTCGGGATTTGAGAGAACACAAAGAATGGATGCACCTGAACCATTACAGACGTTTTTGAGCCACGCCATTCAAGGTCTTCAATCATCGATCACTATCATCTCTCAGACCCCAACCAGGTAGTCGACACCTACCGATATGACTTAGTCCACCTGTCAGTGACTTCACGGATTTGTGCCATGATTTGGTTTGGCCGCCCTTAGCTTTCGTCCAGCCTTCTCCTACATCGCAAAACACAGCTCGACGAGGCAGTCGGTGGTTAGTTATACGTAACACATGTCTCAACCACCTCAACTGATGAAGTTTCAACACTTCATTTATTGATCTGCCATCCTTACCTAGCACCCGTTTCTTAACAACAGCATAGCTTACTCGGTTGTCTTATGATACACGAACAATGCTTCGAAGACACCTATCATCGAAACCCAGTAACATTCAATAACTTTAACCTTAAATGTCTATGTTATTTACTGAGCTACCAAGTTCAGAGAGACACTGGCTTGTGCAATGGGAATGAAATGCCTTTTTAAATAATTTCAAGTTCCAGTTAATATTAAGTACTGATCAGTTTCAATCTTCAATATTAATGGAATGATACAAAAAAATACTTACAATTGAAGGTCCTGCGTTCGAATCCTGCGACGTTCAGGAGTCCTGGATGCACACTGCTGATGAGTCTCATACCAGGACTTGATGGCCGTCCAATTCCTTTCAGAATTTTAATGGTGGTTTAACAATGATTTACTGGTGATTTCAATGTGGTAACATTTTCATGTTTAATAATTGAATTACATTTCAATTCCAAGTAGAATGCTTAATAGGCATAAAATCATATATTCTAAACTGTTCAGTGGTGTTAGCTTATCTACCTACCTACTAGTAATTGATTTAGAGCTGTCAGTCTATATCATGAAAGCTATATCGTTAGGACGTCAAGTCAGAATTCCAACCACTGAACACTTATAACTGTAATCGATTTTATCGAAAACAAACTCATTTTCTCTACCTCAACTTGACTGGTGCAGTATGTATATCAAAACTTTTTCCTAGTATTTGTTGGGTAATCTATTTTGAAGCTTGTTAATATCAGTGCATAGCAAAAAATTATCTTTAATGTGAACTAATCTATACAAATCATCCATTTCGCTTGAAAATAAGATGGTTTTTTTGAGAGATTTGTGATTTAACAATAGAGAGATTATCTGTTCAATTAGAAATTAGGATACAATTATACAAGTGGTCTGATGGTTAGGCGTTCGCCTACAATACCGAAGGTCCCACGTTCGAATCCTGTGGGGTGCAGGAGTCGTGGATACGCACTGCCACTGCTGAGTCCCATACCAGGACTTGACGGCCGTCTTTCAGTGCTTCCAGGTTTCTAATAGTGATCTAACATTGATCGATTCATGGTTTCAAAAAATGTGTAATTATACAAGTATTACAGCTTTCAAAGGCAAGAGATTTTCAAAGGTAACAATCTCATTTTATTGTTAGTCTAATGAGTCTCAGAAGAATGTAGAAATTCAAGGTTTAAATCAAGGAAAAACTTTAGTTATACAACAAAAATAGAAACTAAAAAGTATTGGACGGTTTCTTATATTTTTTGTTGCATTATAGGTCTTCTACATCACACCTTCATGATCTCACGGGAGATCGAACCTTAAGCCTTCAGATTATGTATGGAAGTATTCTCTGACAATAGCACTGGAAGGCGGTTGTGAAATATCGTGAATCATGAATCAAATGAAAGAATAAACATAACTAGATAGCAGCTCGCTAGTTTGAAGGTTAAAATTGATGTAGTGAGAGCTGGTTGTTGTGAGTCTTACTCCTAGTTGAATTGTTAATGAGCACTAATGAGGAATTTCGCCAATCAGTCAGTCAGTTAGTTAGAACGTAGAACATTGTAAGTATGTACATAAGTTCAGATGGCCATACCACATTAGCGTAGAGAGATGCAACAGTCATTTCAAAACCTATGGTGATAAAGATAGCAGACGTATTAGCGGTGATAGAGAAGATTAGCGTTCGAAGAGATTATTCAAGAAGTATAATCCAGTGAGATAAATTTAGGAAGAGAAAGACAGAGGTGTTGAGGAATTCAGATTAGAATTTGAGAGAACGCATACACACGCACATACTACAAACAAGTAGCTATTAGTGCTTATCAATTTTTACTAGCTGTTTAATTGAAACCAGTTAGTGACTGAAATTATAAAATTCTATTTTCTTACTCAACAATCTTAGTTCCACGAATAGTTTTAGGAAAATGACAAAGTCTCTTAAAGAAAATACCACAATTTGATCAATGAAGGTATTTAGCTGAAATGTAATTTAAATTACCATATTACGGTTTCTTATTAGCTGACCAAAGAAGTGTGAAACTCGAATTCCAAATTTATATGCAGTGAGACTCTCATCAAGACCTTGATCGTATGACAATGTTTTGATTCACTGAATCCTTTCCATAGTTCATTACTTTTGACATTTAAACTCACAATAAACAGCTTTTTTACTTAAATTAAACTGAAAACTATGTGATCAATTAAAATTGAGCTTTTTAAAATTCCATTACGGGGTTGTTGTGAAGATTGTTAAGTTTTATTTGTGACCGTGAGTCGATCAATGTTAGACCACCATTAGAAACCTGGAAGCACTGAAAGACGGCCGTCAAGTCCTGGTATGGGAACACTCCTCAGCAGTGCGTAACTACGACTCCAGCACCTCGCAGGATCCGAACCCAGGACCCTAGGTATTGTGCGCGAACGTCCTAACTGTTAGACCACTGAGCCGTCGTTAATGTCTAACTTGATCAAATTCATGGAGTTGTGCAACCTCATACACTGTATACATCCGAACAGGTTTGAACTTCAATGGTCACGACTTCCCACTAGAACTTGGAGAAGATTCCTCACGAAGCTAGTCACTAGTGGACACATGCAATTGCATTACGGGGTTGTTGTGAAAATTTTTGTATACAATAATTTTTTTCATGAGGTAAGAAAGTTTTGTTTAATGTGAAATTTCAAATGAGTGTCATCATAAAATTAGAAATCAATTGAGAAACTGTTCATTGGTTAGGAAAATCTGAAAAGATAGTCAGATGAATCATGGAAATCCAAGTTGTCGAACAGTACCATGATTATGTTTGGGGCAGAAAGTCTACGTTTCGATTCTTGAGAGGACTGTGAAGTGCTCATTGCTGAGCAATCTCAAATTGTAAATGAGACTGTTGTTATTTTAAAATCATTGTTTACCTAGTGATTGTGTAAATTCAACTTCGTTCAATGACAAAAGACAGTTAACCTCTAAAAACCAACAAACGAAATCACCAATTTTTAAATGATATACAACTTAAATTTATTATTTTTTCGTGTATTGTATAGGTAGTGAAACTCAATTACTTCGTTTAGATATAGTCAATGGGCTGTTGAAAGTATTTCTACATTTGCCAATTACAGAAAGTGATATTTCGTTAAATTTGGTCGAAGGGAATGATGCAATTATTCAAAATCATGGTATTTATCGAAAGAAAAAGCTGTTAAGTTTATTTCAATTGGACATAGTGATTCAGTCAAAACTTGATCCAACATTACGATTGGATGATAATCAATGGCATTCAGTTATATTGGAAAGATCAAATTCATTGGTAACTCATAGTGTACTATATATATAAACATATATGCATATATCTATTAGAAATCTATGATATAAATGATATGATTGATTTGAAAATGACTGAACACTTATACTTTACATTCCGGGGTTGTGAAGATTGTTAAGTTACAGATTTTTAAAGATCGATCTGTTCGGGTGTAGACAGTAACTACCGAAGACTGTGTATCAGCTTGCGCAACTCCGTGAATTGATCAAGTTAGACAATAACACCATTAGATACCGGCTCAATGGTCCGATGGTTAGGCGTTCGCCTACATTAACGAAGGTTCTGTGTTCGAATCCTGCGGGGCGCAGGAGTCGTGGATGCGCACTGCCAGTGATGAGTCCCATACCAGGACTTGACGGCCGTCCAGTGCTTCCAGGTTTGTAATGGTGGTCTAACACTGATCGATTCATGGTTTCAAAAATGTGTAATTTATACTTTACACATTTGAAATCATGAATCAATTAATATTAGACTACCATTAGAAACATGGGAGCACTGGACGGCTGTCTATTCCTGGTATAGGATTCATCAACAGTGGGCACCCAAGACTCATGTACTTCGCAGGATTCGAACTCAGGATCTTCATTCAGTCTCGCGCACAAACGTCTAACTTCTGAATCACTGAGCCGGTATCTAACGGTGTTATTGTCTAACTTCAATCAATTCACGGTCTTTCGCTACCTCATATACTGTCAACGATTGAAAAGTTAGAACTTCACTGATCACGACTTCTCACTAGAACTCGGAGAAGATTTCTTACGGAGGAAGTCACTCGTGAGCACATGTAGTATTGAATCACGCGGTTGTGAATATTGTTAGAGTACACATTTGAAATCATGAATCGATCATTGCTCGAATCCAGCGAGTAGCATGAGTCATGAATAGGCACAGTTAGTTCATCGCATAACAGAACGAAAAAGTTGTCCAGTGCTTCCAGGTTTCTAATTGTGGTGTAACATTGATCGATTCATGATTTCAAAAATGTGTAACTTAACAACCTTCACAACTTCGTAACGTGTACTTTACCTGGCAAAATGAAATGATGACCTATTTATAAAGAGTTATACGTCCAGTTGTATAAAGTCTTTACAAAACTATGTTGATAATAAGGATATGTTAACTGGTGATTAGTTCAGGGATCAGATGTGTGGGCGCGGATCGGCAAAGCAGGGGCTGCATTTCTACAGTTGAAAAATATCTGCAACTCCAAGCAACTTTCAACCTAAAAAACCAAAATCACGATTTTCAATACAAATGTCAAGAGAGTTCTACTGTATGGAGCGGAAACTTGGAGAACTTATAAGTAGTATATGACGCGAGTGTAAACGTAATGTCTGGCAGCACAAGATGGGAGAAGATCAAGAGAAAGGAAGAGTGGGAACACAATGGAATTTGTATGAAACGCATGAATAGTGAGTGAAATGTCAGACAATGGATTGATGATGGATTGAAGATGTGCAAATTAACCGTTTACGATATGGTTTTCCTATTTTACTGAGTAACTCTGTAATTTGCGACTAAATACAATTGGGTTGCCCTCACCTGTGTTCTCCTTCACTACAATATGACAAATCAATATATATTAATACATATTCAATGTACAATATTCTCTACTTGATAAATTGTTTGTCTTTTTCTCATCTTTTCTGTTTCCAGTTACAAGTATACATTGATGACGATTTAATATTTACACGTTTACTTGGATCAACTAATCATCCACGTGTATATTTATTGCATACACAAATTATTGTTTTAGGTGGACCTTATAAATTAAATGATATATTTCAAATGAATTCACTGAATATTCTATCCGATAATAATTTTATTGGTTATATTTCAAAAGTGAGTAATAATAACCAAGGATTATTTAATACTGTTTAATTGTTGATAGAATTTGGAATACGTCACACATTGTAGGGTTCGTCACTTTGTATGCTTGGGGCTATTACGAGTTTACCTTAGTCGATAAACGCGATCGAGACAATGAACCAGCGTCCAGGTAGGCTACCTTGAATCCCCAGGCTGAAGTAAAAAGGCTTTGTAAACGTAGAAAGTGTATTCTACAAACACCCAGCAATCACAATACAATCAAGCATACAACTCTCGTTTATTTATACAACATAGAAACGTCCTTGGGACAGTTAAGAAAAAAGCACACTAAAATACACAGCAGCCAATCACAGCCATGGATTTTGCTGGTGGGAAATGAAATCTCAAGGTCAACTGATCAGCCCATGCTGGCAAACGTGTAAACCAAAATAAGGCATTCATCAAGCGAATTTCGGGGATCTAACATCCCCAACACACATATATAATAAGTTTCGTTCATTTTCTATCTGTCAAACGAATCTTGACTTGAGAATTTTAGATATTTGTTTTAATTAACTTTGAAAGCTGAAATATTTACATGAATCAGGTGCTAAAAGTATTAGATATTGTCATGTTGTCTGATCGATATCTTACTTATTTACGCCTGTTACAGCCAGTGGAGCATAGGTTGCCTCCGTTTGCAGTTCTGTCCAATTTTTGTTCATTCTTCTCATACCTGTCTCGATTTCTCAGCTTAATGTGTTCATTGGCCTTCCTCCTCTTCTTTGACCTTGAGGATTACAAGTGATGGCTTGTCCTGTGATGCAGTTGGGTGCTTTCCTCAAAGTGTGTCCTATCCACATCCGCCGCTTTTTCTTGATTTCTTCCTCCGCTGTAATCTGGTTTATTCTCTGCCACAATAAGTTGTTGCTGATGGTGCCTAGCAAACGGATCGGAAGTATTTTGCGTAGAAAACTGTTAATAAATACTTGTATTTTCTGGATGGTGGCTTAGGTAGTTTTCAAAGTTTACACCTCATGCAGTACAATTGTCTTGGCATTTGTATTGAAAATTGTGACTTAGGTGTTGCTTGGTAGTTGTTTTGAGTTCCAGATGTTGTTTAGTTGTAGAAAGGCAGCCCTTGCTTTGGTGATCCGTGGCTCCAAATCTGCATCATATCCACCTTGCTTGTCGATGATGCTGCCCAGATATGTAGAGCTTTTGATGTTCTCCAAGGCATCTCCATCAAGAGTGATTTGATTGGTGCATGTTGTGTTGTATCGGAGAATCTTGCTTTTCCCTTTATGTATGTTGAAACCTACTTCTGCTGAGGCTGATTCAACACTGGTCGTTTTCTCTTTCATTTGTTGTTGTGTGTGCATTAGAAGAGCCAGTGCATCAGCTGACTACTAAGTGCCTCAATTAAAGATAAGATACAGGAAACCACTATGAAAGACTCAATTTCTTCTTTCAATCTTGATTTAAAGAGAGCAATGATTTTAAATTTCTGTGAAGTAATTTTGTTAAATTTAATGGTCTAACACATAATATATAAATTCATAATTATTTTTCATATAAATCATATGTATTGGTTGTTTCAGTTTTCCCATTAATGTTTAAGGCTGTGATTGATTGGTCATATTTGGTATGTGTGCATCCTGTGTGGATTGCCTTGATATTGTCATAAGGTCATGAGCAATATAAGCAGAGATGGATAGCGACTCGTAGTGGAATACAGGACGTGCTTTATGTTCTCTTTGGGACTCGTCAGCGGGAAATGCCTGTATCTCCGAGACCAAGACCTAATATCTGGACTGACCATTAACTCTGAGATTGTGATAATCGTTAATTGATGTGCTTGAACTATATTACGAGTTCACCTTAGTCGATAAACGAGACCAAAGACAAATAATCCAGTGAGACGATGGGCTACTGTAATCCGAGCCTCCCAAGCCCCCACTAAGTAGAAAAAGCCTTAATATGGCGTAGAAAGTGCATTCTACAAGCACCCAGAAAATATCAGGTTTTGTACAGAAGATGAAGAAGGATCATAAAACTTTACAAACAATGCATATTTATACAGTTCGGTCGACCGTGAATACTAACCAATAGGAAACAATATTTAAAGTATGTGAACTTGATAGTTAGGCTGACCCTAAATATTGACCAATAAGAATTGACCAATAGAATTAGACTCACAAAATAATTTCTTTAGGATATTTGATGAATATCCTAACAGAGGTACAAGTTTAGTCAGCTGACACGTATCAAGCAGGAGACCAAAGAAAATTTATGATCGTAATATAATTCAAAGTAGAACATTCTCGTTTTCTGTCTTAATTAACATTGTTTAATAAACACACTATGATTTTCGATAAATAAAATAACATGATTTACATTCCAAGTATCAAAATACAGTGAAAGGATGATTTTCTTATCACTCCAACTTGTTTGCCCTAAAATTAGAAGCATTATGTTTTAATGGGTAAAGAGGATACATTTTGAAATTTCTAGAATTCGATAAAACATTTTACCGAAAAATGAACTGATATTCACGATTGTATAACATGTCAACCAACCGATTTTATTTTATCCTTATTTTTTTCTAAATACAGACTGTACTGTCACTTAAAAGGTTTGAATTATATGATAATTGTTACTAAGACTGAGACTTTGATCACTCTCATGTAGCATATTTGCATTCTAAATGCTCTCTGTCTCACTGAAATCATTTTGTTTCAGGTTTTATACAAACATCGTAGATCATGGCAATCAGTGGGATTAAGGATAAATAAGTGTTTAATCGTATTTAAGACTAGTGTTCCGGAAGTAATTGAATTCACGTGTTTATAATCACATTAAGACTAGAACTCAGAACCTTTAACAGAGATAACCAACTCCATTATCCACTGATTTGCTGAATCCAACCAAGTAATAACATACTCGGCAGCGCACGGCGCAGCAACATCGTGAGCTCCACAGTCAGCACCAGTGGGTCACAATCGACAGACAACCTCGCTAACCAGAACCTCTTCGGCCCCTCCTTCCTGCCCACTGGGCCGACGAATTCCGTCACTATTCGCTCCGTGACCGTCTCCCACGCCGCCTTCCCGGCGGCACCGTCCAAGCTGTCGTATACAGCCTTTGCCTCACCTCCCCGCAGCGTCCCCAGCACCACCAACTCCCTTCACACCCACCAGCCCCACCACGGCCTCAAACTCCTCCAGGAAGCTCCGCGAATCTCCGCCCTCAAACTCCTTCGGCCACGGAAGCTCCTTTCTTCGTGCAGGCAGCGACACGAAATGTAGTGAAGGAGAACACAGGTGAGGGCAACCGAATTGTATTTATCGAAAATTACAGAGTTACTCAGTAAAATAGGAAAACCATATCGTGACCGTTAATTTTCAAATCTTCAATCAATCATCAATCCATTGTCTGACATTTCACTATTCATGCGTTTCATACAAATTCCATTGTGTTCCCACTCTTCTTCCTTTCACTTGATCTTTCCCCATCTTCTGCTGTCAGACATTACGTTGACACTTGCGTCATATACTACTTATAAGTAGCGCGCACCACACAGTGTTCTGGAAGTAACTGAATTCACTTATTTACGATCACATTAAGACTAGAACTCAGAACGTTTAACAGAGATAACCAACTCCATTATCCACTGATTTGCTGAACCCAACCAAGTAATAACTTGTTAAATGGGTATAATGTTTAAACTTTCGTCAAAACAGAGTTTGGTAATTTGGTTAACAGTTTGAGTTGAAATCCAGACTAGTTTTTTATTGGAATATGTGTAGCGTACGCAGATTAACTCAGTATTGTCGATTTGTCACAAAATATTTAGAATTTAAGTTATTCTATCTAATCTTTCATTGAAATGATTTTGATTTCTTTCACCTGAAATCGTGAATCGACCAGTGTTAGACTACCGTTAGAAATCTGGAAGTAGTGGTCTGTCGTTTCGTCTTAGTATGAGACTCTTCAGTAGTGCGCACCTACCACGTCCACACTCAGGACTGTCCGTTTCGTGAGTGAACATTTAATCTCTAGACTAATGAGTCAGCATCAAACAGTGTTGATGTCTAACTCTAATGAACCCAAGATATTGTGCAATCTCAACCATTATCTTCGGTAGGTGACGACTACCTACACTCTACTCAACAAGGCTTAACTCCACTGGTCACACATGTCTTCTCGTTAGAACTCTGGGAATTCGTTCACATAACTAGTCATTGGTCCAACAATGATCAATCCATAATCTACAAAACTCTATATGATGAAAAATCATTTCATAGTTTTAAAGTAACTTTACCCATGTACACATTTTAGGCTATTTTTCAAGCGGATTCACTTCAAATGAATATTTTAGAATTCACATTATCCAGTTTACATGGTTTTCGAATTCAACCACTATTTCCTTGGATAAATAAAACAGATCATCAAATGAATGAATTTCTTCTACCCGGTACTAATGAATTTATCAAATTTATTCAAATATGTGATTTAATTCATCAAATGAATCAGTTACCTACTTCCCCGATTCATTTTAATTCAACAGCATTTTTTCATGAAAATATGTTTCTCACTTTAAAATTGCCAACATTCGTGATAATGGATTTATTACAGAATTCCATTGAATGTATTCCACATAATTCAAATCATCCGATCAAGTCGATCGATACACTGAAATGGATTCATTTAGAGCTACAATTTAATCAATATTCAATGGAACAAAATGGTTTATTATTTCTATTAAGTGAAGATACCGATCAACGGCTGAAACATTTCACATTTTTCAATAATATCAATGATCAATATGATGATAATGGCCGATTGATCAATAATAATGCATATCATTTAAATGGGAATTTCATAATTGGCGCTGAATTTCGTGACAATCATTTTTATATTATTCTACAAAAGAATAAACAAATATGGACTGATGTGGAATTAGATTTAAAATCTATGAAAGTATCATCATTAGACGGTGTGCATAAATTACACATAAAATATACAATGATTTGGTTGACACATGAAAATAACCATTCAATGATCAATTTATGGCCATTGATCAAAGTAAATTTTGGCGATGCAACTGACAGTTGGATTACTGTTGGTCCAAATATCAATCATCATCATAATAATAATTTGACAATATTAACTAATGCACAAGAAATGAGATTAATGGAAAGTTTGAAAGTATCCAATGAAATTTATCAAACACTATGGCAGAATACATTATGGTTTGGTAGAACATTATATTTAGGTGGTATAAATTATACAAAATCCATTGAAAATGGTTTATTTATACCAGGAATTCAAAATATTAATAGTAAACGGCGAAATTTTCAAGGTTATATTACTAAGTAGGTATTTATTCATTCATTTCAGTCAAACAACTTAATAATTTCAATATTTTTACACATTTGAAATCATCAGTCAATCATTGTTAGACCAACATTAGAAACTTGGAAGCACTGGACGGTCGTTTCGTCCTGGTATGGAACTCATCAGCAGTGCGCATCCACGACTCCTACACCTTGCAGCATTCGAACCAGGGACCTTCGGTATTGTGCACGAATGCCTAACCATCGGACCTCTGAACCGCCATCTAAGGGTGTTACTGTCTAACTCTGATTGATCTAGGGATTTAGCGCGACCTCATCCATTTGTCTTTGGTAGTTACTGCCTACACCCGACAGGTTTGAACTCCGCGTCACGTCTTCTCAACTAGAACTCCGATGATTTTCACAGGAAGCTAGTCACTAGTGAGCGCTGTTATTAGGTTTTGGGGCAGAGTTTTGGAGATTTGGGTTTTTACACATTTGAAATCATCAATCACAATACCGAAGGTCCCGCGTTCGAGCCCTGCGAGGAGCAGGAGTCGTGGATGCGCACTGCCACTAATGAGTCCCATACCAGGACGAAACGGCCGTCTTCCAGTGCTTCCAGGTTTCTAATGGTGGTCTAACAATGATTGATTGATGATCTCAAATGTGTAAAAACACAAACCTCCAAAACTCTGCCCCAAAATTTTTGTTTTGTCGCAAAACTATTTAAATGAATTAAGCTTCTTCCTACAGTGATTGTAGATTAAATTCTAAACGAAATTTAGAACATTTCTGTGAAATAAAGAGGCCAAAATCTTCGTGTTTCAATCGGACGGGTAAAATTCAAAAATTTCACTCAAGATAACTGACATTCATTGATAAATGATAAATGTCAGTGAATACGTTACATTTAGTTCTTGAGCTTACTAATCATGTTTTGACTTCAACTACGTAGTAATTTTATTCCTGAAAACTAAGTTTTATTTTTCACCAAACAAAACTTATCATTATTTGCTGAAACTCTGATTCTGTTGCTTTACTATATTCCTTCATGAAGGCTTACTTCGACGTAAGTTGATAATTGATTGACAATTGATTAATCACTGAAAGGTAACCTATGTTACATCTAGGAAATTCTTCTTAGTGTTGTTGACTGAATACTGTCGGTTAAGTTGTATACAGTGGCCATCCTACAACTTGATGGCCAAGATTTGATTAGCATTAAGGATAACTTGACAGTTTCATCGTGTCATGAATAGATCGGTGGGTTCGAATGCGCCGGAGAGCAATGATTATACCGAGATTGTTGGTAGACTTCACTGACGAGTGACCAATTGCACGAAATCCAGTCTAAACCAGCATGTTTTTGTCGATTATCTCCAATTACTTTACAAAGTTGATCATTTTTGTCAATTAGAAATTTATTTCCAGAACGTTAACTATTTTTAATGATACTGAAACAATACTTATGTATATTTTATCATTCTAAACTAATTAACAGTTTAAGTCATGGTACTTCAGAGACTAGAGTACTTGTTTTATACCTAGAACATCTCCATTAGGAAGAACTAGACGAAGCAAGATATGAAATATTATTGATTATTGTTATCTAGTGAACTAGTTTGCATACTGTTCTTAAAAAGTACTTAAGTTAAAATAAGTCTTGTGAAGTATATTTTTTTAATATGAAGGCTACTATATTCGTTACAGTGTGATTTCAATCAGGATACCTATCACTGGAGACTGACTATAGTCCAATGTGTTAATGTAATTTTTTTCATTACAAATGACATTTTACAATGGAATGTAATTTTTAAATAAATATTCACAGTTATTTTGTTATTGAAATCATGAATCAATCATTGTTAGACTACCATGAGAAAGCTGAAAGTATTATTGGACGGCGGTTTTGTCCGAGTATTAGACCATTCAGTAATGCATCAATGGTCTAGAAGTTAAAGTGTCTGTTTGCCAGACCATAGATTCAGAAGTGGATTCCGGCTTGATTAATCATAGCTGTACACTGCTGATGAGTCACATATTAGGACAAATTAGTCATCTAGTGATTTCAGATTTCTGATAGTGGATACAGAAGGCTCGATTGGCTTTTGCCAACCTGAGTCACCTATGGCGTAGGCGAGATATCCGCTTGTTAACCAAAGGACGAGTGTACTGTACAGCAGTTCGCTCCATCCTACTGTACGGATGTGAGACTTGGCCGTTAAGAGTACAGGACTTTCGTAGGTTACTAGTCTTCGATAATCGCCGTCTCCGAAGCATTGCTGGTATATCCTGGGACGACCGAGTAAACAATGCTATAGTTAGAGATGGAGTACTAGATACGGATGACAGGTGAATAGATGAAGTATTGAAACTTCATCAGTTGAGGTGGTTGGGACATGTGCTACGTATGGCCAACGACGGTCTGCCTGGACGCGCTACGTTTTGTGGTGTAGGAGTGGATAGGAATGAAGCTAGGGGCGGCCAAACCAAAACATGGCGGAAATGCATGAAGTGACTGACGAGTGGTGTGAGTGATGTTGGTAGATGTAGGCTACCTGGTTGAGGTCGGTGAGACGAAAGTAACCGATGGTTAGAGACGTTGAACGACATGGCTCAGGTGCATTCACTCTTTGTGTTCTATGAAATTCTAAGCTTCTGCATTCCTCATAATCTCTACCTTTCTCCTTCTAAATTTATCTTACTGAATTATACTCCTCGAACCATATCTTCGCCCCCAAATCTTCCCCATTACTGCTAATACTTCTATTATTGTTATAACTGTTGGATTTGAACTGACAGTTGCGTCTCTGTGCTGATGGGGCATGACAACCTGAATTGATGTACGTACGTACGTACGAAGTTCTTCGTTGTATCTGTCTGTCTGTCTGCATAATGATGATTTAAATAATAAAATAACTGTGAATATTTATTTACTTTTTTTAATTTTCATAATTATTTATCATTTTAAAATTACCATTCCATGATGGTAAAATGTCATTTTTTTTTCGTTAAATAATTACATTAGCGCGTTTTTGTTTTTCAAAAAAAATGTTTCCGTTAAAACTTCATTTCATTCAATGAACAATTAATTTCAATTAATCATTGATATATTTTTAAATAAATGCATCGTATTCTCTTACTAATCACAGGATGATAGTAGTATTGTATATCTGTTAGAATAGATTAATGTTTGTTGGTTATTCAGTGTAAAAAAAGAACAGATTCAGCCATGTCACTATTGTTCAATTGTCAATGCGTGTTTTTTGATTTATCAATGTGTTTTTTAATAATTATTGCATTAATGAATTAAATTTATATAACATTATTTATGTTATTATTATTATTACTTATTTGATACTAGTAATATTTTGTAAATTAAAATGTCAATATAAAACCACAATCTCTATCATACTCACTAGCGATTGGCTTTGTGAACCAAGTTCTTGGAGTTCTTCTAGTTGAGAAGATGTGACTAGTGGAGTTTATCACTGTCGGGTGTAGGCAGTAACTACCGAAGACAAATGGGAAGGGGTCGCTCAAAATCCCTAGATTGATCAGAGTTAAACATTAATTGACACTGTTGGATGTCGGCTCCATAGGTTAGGCGTTCACAATACAAGACTGAAGTTCTTGAGTAGCAGGAGTCGTGGATGCGCATTGCTTATGAGTCTGCTACAAGGACGAAATAGCCGTCCGGTGCTTCCATGTTTTTAATGATAGTCTAACAATGATTGATTGATGATTTCAGTGGTTCATTCAGTTGCAACGTAGAACTTCGTACGTATGTACATAAGTTCATGTTGCCATACCACATTATTAGCACAGAGACGCAAATGTCAAATCAAATCCCATAGTGATAGAGATAGTAGAGGTATTAATGATAATGAAGAAGACTAGGGTTCGAAGATATTATTCAAGAAGTATGATTCAGTGAGATAAGTTTAGAAATAGAAAGGTAGAGGTGCTGACCAATCCAGAAGATTAGCATTTGAGAGAGCTCGAATAGTGGATGCACCTACGCCATTGCAAACGATTTTGAGCCATGTCGTCCAAGGTCTCTAACCATTGATGATTATCGTCTCGCGGACCCTAACCAGGTAGTCTACATCTACTAACACGAATTAGTCCACTGGTCAGTGACTTCATGGATTTGTGCCAGACTTTGGCCTGGCCGCCACTAGCCTTCCTCCTACACCACAAAACAAAGCTCGTCGAGGCAGTCGGTGGTCGGGCATACGCAGCACATGGCCCAACCACCTCAAATGATGAAGTTTCACCACTTCATCAATTGATATGCCATCCTTGCCTAGCACCCGTTTCCTAACGACAGCATTGCTTACTCGGCTGTCCCATGATATACGAGAAATGCTTCTTAAACATCTATGATCGAATACTAGTAACCTACGAACATCTTCTACTCTCACTGGCCATGTTTCACAGCCATATAAGAGAACGGAACGAACTGCTGCGCAGTACACCCGTCCTTTGGTTAGCGAACGGATATCACGGATAGAATGGTTAGTTAAATATCAACACCAGGGTGCAGATATATCCAACTGGTGATTTCCTAAATACAATAAGATGCACGCCCAATTTGAAGTTTATTCACCATCCAACCTTTCGCTAAAGTTTTGAAGTACGGCTCACTAATTTAATGGTCAACGACTTGACTCCAGTTAGACGACTGATCGAGTATCCGATGAAATCAATCTTCTTTTCCATTTAAGCAAGCCTCGTTTGTTCAGCGGCAGTAATAAAAAATCCAATATGGTTTTGTGGATGAATTCATTTCATGCGTTCATTAAAATCAGACACACATGAGAATGAAAAGCGTACAAACAAAACGAAGCCAACTACAGAAGGCGAGTGAGCTAACTCTCACGCGCTGAAGTAATGATTGCGTATTTATAGTCGGACAATAATAGACTAGACATATCACAAGCGAGTAAGTAAGCACACACACACAGACAATCAAAGATGTCTAACGTCAAAAATCGGGAAGATTTAAAGCCACCATAAATAGTCTGTATTATAAATTCGTTCATTGGTTGGAGAAAACCGGTGGGCGGCCAATGCTCCATTGGGGGTAGAAGGCGTAGGTAAGTAAGTAAGTAAGTAAGTAAGTAAGTAAGTAAGTAAGTAAGTAAGTAGGTAGGTAGGTAAGTAAGTAAGTAAGTAAGTAGGTAGGTAGGTAGGTAAGTAAGTAAGTAAGTAAGTAAGTAGGTAGGTAGGTAGGTAGGTAAGTAAGTAAGTAAGTAAGTAAGTGCATAAGTAAGTAAGTAAATAAGTAAGTAATTTCACCAAAAGGTTATATTCTGCAATAATCGTATACATTTATGTCATAAACTAGTCATTTAATTATAAAAATTCATTGTATCCATTTGTCCATTTACTTTTTTGTTCCTTCACATTTGTATTTCACAACATAAAAAGGGTAACCATCAATGGTTTACGTTTGGATTTACACTCAGCTATTCAAACACGTATTCGTTATTTGCACAGTATTTATTATGAGAAAATTCAAACAATGGGAAAATTCTCTTTTCCCTTAGAGTGTAACATTCTTAATAATAATAATAATAACGATGATGTACAAACAGCTATGTTTTCAAATATTTGCTCATCATCCAATTTCAATGAATTATCATGTCCAATTATTAAACAAAGTGATCATCAAAGAGGAAGATTAATAAATTCCTGTTTGAATAACTCATCCAAGTTTAAAGATTGTAAGTTATGTCTCTAGTAGTGTTCAATAAGTGTATTCTGTTTGTTTGTATTTTTTGGTGGAGGGAAATTTGAAAAATTGAAAATGTAAGTTAATTGTCAAACAAAAGAGATACTTGTTAACATCTAAGCATATATATATATATATATATATATCACTGATGTTGTGATCATATTGGTGGGCGAAACTTCGAGCTTGAAACTCAGGAAGTGAATGTTCGCCACAGTAATCATTTTAACTAGAATCTTTATCAGAATGATCAATGAATATTTCATCTGATCATCTTTCTGGATTAGTTCAGTTTGAATATCTTTTCTTTTCATATACAGTTGAGATTAGTTAGCATGAACTAATGAAAATTAGTGAAACACTTAGCTTTTTTTATATTTTTGATAAATATCAATCAGTAGTTCACATTGATGATTCAACACGTAACTGATCGCTGGATAAACAATCGTGCTTTGTTATAAACGGATTTGTAGATCAGTGAATTCTAATTCAACAGTTTAAAAGTGACGAGCTTTCTGAGAGTCTACGAAGTCTCGGGTAGATCTATACTCATTTATACTCGTAGGTTAAGTTTAATGACATGAATCTTTATTCTTTCATTGAATATAAACATAAACTTTGAAGTGGACAGCAGGTTGAATTTACTAAATTGCTTAAGCATAGACCGCTAACCAGCGTTCTTGAACCTACTCTGTCCAGGGCCTCCCTTTCCAGTTCTGTCTAATTTTCGTTCATTCTTCTCAAATCTATCTCCATTTGTCGGCGTAACATGTTTTTGGCCTTCCTCTTTTCTTCCGACCTTGAGAATTCCAAGTGAGGGCTTGTCTTGTGATGCAGTTAGGTGCTTTCCTCCATATGTGTCCTAATCACTTCCAGCGCTTCTTCATGACTGTTTCCAAGCACCTCCAGTTTGTATCTTTTCATCTCTGTAGGAATTCGTAACAGTCTTCCGGTCTTCCACAATGTTTGAACATTCCATGTACCAAAAAGAATGATTACCCTAGTATTCAGAAGGAGCATCTACCTGTGAGTTCCGAAAGAACTCCGCTCTCATCATGAGACGTCATAACTCTTTTGAATGAAGACCACCTATATCTTAGAGCAGAGTTTGAATGGTTTGAATTGATTTTTCTGGTTAGAGTTGTTTTAGAGAGTTAGTTTTTTGTGGGATGGGGTCGTTAACCTCATGTCCAACCCTCCTCCTTTTTTTACTGGCTTTGGACTGACATTAGCCCTAGAGGGGCCCCCAGACGGAGTAAGGTTGAATGTAATGTGATGAATAGTTCCTGCGGTTTGCTTTACATCAACTGTTATATATTCATTGTCAAATAGATCAGTTAAGATGTGACTGTTTTGTGTCCTTTTACTTTGATCATTTATGAACGTTCATCTGGAAGATAAAAGTAGATGTGGCAGACATTTTATATTAGCTTCGTATAGAACTCCATTTTCTACTTATTGGTATGAAGTTATGATAATGAGATAGTTGGAGACGAACTATTTTTATGTCTTTTGGGGCAGAGTTTTGGAGGTTTGTGTTTTTACACATTTGAAGTCATCAATCAGTCATTGTTAGACCACCATTAGAAATCTGGAAGCACTGGACGGCTGTTTCGTCCTGGTATGGGACTCATCAGAAGCGCGCGTCTACGACACCTGCTGCTCGCAGGATTCGAACTCAGGAACTTCGGTATTGTGAGTGAACGCCCAACCAATCAGACCACTGGGCCGGTACCCAACGGTGGATGCTCACTGCCACTGATGAGTCCTATACCAGGACGAAACGGCCGTCCAGTGCTTCCAGGTTTCTAATGGTTGTCTAACAATGATTGATTGATGATTTCAAATATTTTTATTGGTCATTTTGTAGGATTTTTTCACACACTCCTAGTTTTATTAGTTAAAATATTGATTTTAATCGATACAAATAACCACCTGTTTACAATCTTCTGTCTTCCATTACCAAGCTATACCAATTCTACATTTCAATGGATTACAACTGATACGTATACAATTCCCTGCTCAACAATATTCATCATCATTATGGTTTGAATTGATATTTCAAACAAATCAATTGAATGGAACACTGTTATGCACTGAATCAGATTCACAATACAAAGTATATGCTATGAACAAGTTGACTGCACCGAATATTCACGCAGAAGAAAGAGAAGAACAAGAAAAACATTTGACATTTGAAGAAACAAATAAATTTCATGCATCAGTTGAACATCGAATCGATCAGCAAAGAATTTATGATGGAAATTTTGTGTTAAATTATAATAGTTTTCAAATATTCCTTGTCAATGGTTATTTACATTTGAAGTATATTGTCAAGGATAAAAATGAAGTATGTCTATTTGTAATAAATGTAGTATGGGGAGAAAACAAAACTCAGACAAATTGTTTGATAGAAAAAATAATTTTTGTATACGGAATAGTTGAATCAGTTATTAAATTCTCATTACTAAAGAACAATGGGTTCGAATCCTGCGGGCTGCAGGAGTCGTGGATGCGCACTGCTGATGAGTCCCATAACAGGACGAAACGGCCATCCAGTGCTTCCAGGTTTCTAATGGTGGTCTAACATTGATCGATTCATGGTTACGAATAAAACTTAACAATCTTCACAGCAACCCCGCAATGTTTGTTGAATAATAGTGAGCTACAACTGTGACTAATTTCTATCAATCACTGTTGTCTCATTGAACTACAGAAATGTTAGATTATAACTCTTGATCTGTTGTGCATGAAAATTTATTATTGGAGTCATGAATTGATCATTATTAGACCAAGGTTGGAAACCTGGAAACACTGGATGACTGTTTGTCCTAGTTTGTGATTCATCAACAGTGCACGTACACGGCCCTTGCACGTGGGCATGGAAATCAGGATTTTGGGCGGCACTTCACCTCTAGACCACTGCGCCGGCATCCAGTGGTTCTTGAGGTTTTGAGTCGACCAATGTTAAGCCACCGTTAGAAACCTCGAAGCACAAGATGGTCGCTTCGTCTTGGTACGTAACTCATCAACAGTGCACGTACACAGGCCCCCCACGTGGGCATCGAAAACAGGATCTTTGGTGGCGCTTAGCCTCCAGTGGTGTTAATATCTAACTTTTATCAATCCTTGAGTCTTGTTCAGCCCCACTCATTGTCTTGGGTGAATAACTGACTACACCTAACAGGGTTGAACTCCACTGGTCATGACAACCATGGTCGATTAATAATTTCAATGAAACTCAATAATCTCCTGTTACGATATGCATCCAATATCCTAAGACAATTATTGGTCAATGCTTATTGGTTAATTCCTACTGGTCAATTTTATAGTTGTCCTAGATATCAGTGTCACGTACTCCAATGCTCTTTCTTATTGGTCGACTTAATTGTCAATGTCACAGACTTCGATGCTGTTTCCTACTCAACCTAAATGTATAAATACGCATTATCTGTGACGTTTTTTGACCCGGACCTGGATCCCTAGTCCGGGATCCTGATTCTCTTCTGGACTCGTACCTCGTACTTTCTGGATGCTTATAGAATACAGGTTCTATTTCATATCAAGTCTTGTCTTCTTTTTACTCAATATGGGGGTTGAGAAACTGGGATTAGAGTAGCGTGTCGTGTCATCTGATCCTCGATCCTCGCTCTCGTTTTCCAACTAACCTAGATTCGTAATAGTTCAAGCATATCAATTTGACATGTTTACGTGCCTGAATAACATCTCCAGAACTCTATAATGAAAAATTATTACGTGGTAAATAAATATATGTATATCTAATATTTTCATTGCAACAATGCGCTACTCTAAGCGAAAAGCATAATTATTTAATTGTGTCAAGTAATGCCTACTAAAAATCTAGTTTGTTACAAATTTGTTATAATTGAATTATTGCAAATAACTTAAATAAATAGATTTCTGATCTTAATGTAATTGCAGCCTTTTGGTTAGTTTGCATTTTGCCAAGAGGTGCCCTATGTGCTGAAAGGTATCTGTGCAGCAGCAAGTCAGGTTACCTAGAATAAGGTGAGCCCATAAATCAATAAGCACCTAGATAAATAATGCGCTTACATTCAGCTGGGAAATCAGCAGACAACAATCAGGGGCGTAAGGTCAACATGCAATCAAGACAAACTGATAAATGAAACTAGAAGTCGTTAGAGTAAGGTTTTTCAAAGTATAAACAATCAGTGTGAATGTAACAATAAACATAGAATTTATGTGTTTTTATTTTTTCTTCACTATTACTCTTTTTAATTTCTTTTTTTTTCTTTTTTTCAAGATATTCAAATTACCAGTGTTTATATCCAATGGAAAATGGCATCATTTTGAATTATTTTACAATGATTCATATATGACTGTACATTTGGATGAAAATGTATTCAGTCAGAGTATGTACGGTTTCTTTTCTCGGATGTATATATTGTTACACATTTTTGAAACCATGAATCGATCAATGATAGACCACCATTAGAAACCTGGAAGCACTGGACGACCGTCAAGTCCTGGTATGGGACTCCTCAGCAGTGCGCATCCACCACTCCTGCACCCCACAGGATTCCAACACAGGACCTTCGGTATTGTGCGCGAACGCCCTAACCGTTAGACCACTTAGCAGGCATCTGAAGGTGTTAATGTCTAACTTGATCAATTCACAGAGTTGCGCAACCTCATACACAGTCTTCGGTGAGCACTGCTTCACACCCGAACAGGTTGAACTTCACTGGTCACGTCTTCCCACTAGAACTCGGAGAAGATTCCTCACGAAGCTAGTCACTAGTGAGCACAGGTAATCTGCATTACGGGGTTGTGAAGATTGGTAAGTTACACACTTTTGAAACCATGAATTGATCAATGTTAGACTACCATTAGAAACCTGGAAGAAGCACTGGACGGCCGTTTCGTCCTGTTAGATACCGGCTCAGTGGTCTAACGGTTAGGGCGTACGCGCACAATACCGAAGGCCCTGGGTTCGAATCCTGCGGTATGCAGGAGTCGTGGATGCGCTCTGCCACTGATGACTCCCAAACCAGGAAGAAACGGCCGTCTTGCAGTGCTTCCAGGTTTCTAATGTTGGTCTAACATTGATCTATTCATGGTTTCAAAAATGTGTAACTTACCAGTCTTCACAACCCCTGTAATGTATGTATTGTTGTTAGAAAATCACACATTCATAGATTACGTAGTAGGCAATAAGCATGCTACTGAAGGTCCTAGGTTCGACCCCCTCCTTGCGGGAGTCGTGGATAAGTTTCGTACTAGGACGAAACGGCCAATAATGCTTCCAGGTGCCTAATAATGCTCTAACTACGATCGATTCATGATAAAGAAAAAGTTGAATTTTTCATTTTCTTACATTATGACCAAATGCTGATAAGTGTGATATGGTAAATTTGTTCAAATACTTCGCTGCATATAACTGTTTCTAAGAAATTTTGCAACATTTCTTGTTGTCTAATTATCAATTGTGATGGTTGGTAGCCATTAAAACAAACTGATTGATTTATGACTCATGGAATAAATAAGTAAATAGCTCAATCCTACAAGAAGCAACCTCTGGCTGCGTTGTCATGAACGATAGTAAAAGCTCCTCTAATTAAACTATCTAACTGAGCAGGAAATATTCTATATTCCAGTTCAACATTCTAATTTCGGCTCGTAAATATATGATATTTTAATAGATTTGCGAATATAAAACCTTTATCAACCCTGAACACAGGTCTCTCTCTGATGCTAACAATGTTTTTAGTCACTTAGTTTGTATCACTTACACGTCATTATCTAAACGAAATAAAAATAAATACTAGTCAGAAGCTGCGTTTGTTACTGATCTATCTGTTCAGTAATCTGGAGCTTGCTGGTTTAAAATCATATTTTCCAATAGTTCTAGTGTGGTGTGAGTTACTTATAAGTAGTATATGACGTGAGTGTCAACGTAATGTCTGGCAGCAGAAGATGGGGGAAGATCAAGAAAGGAAGAGTTAGAAGAACACAATGGAATTTGTATGAAACGCATGAATAGTGACTATGGATTGATGTTTTGCAACAGGAACAGTCCAGTTCGATATGATGAACTGATATTTTGCAAATTAACGATTTACGATATGGTTTTCTGATTTTACTGAGTAACTCTGTAATTTTCGTTAAATACAATCCGGTTGCCCCACCTGTGTTCTCGTTCACTACACTAGTAAACCAATTTCAACCTTTATTGAGTTCAAAATAAAGTTAGTGGCCATCTAGATTCACTAGTTAAGTGGAAAAAGAGTTGAGCGTTTGAATCGAATATTATGATCCATATAAATCTAGTTGATGAATACAAAGTAGGACGAAGCACTTTTCCTTGGTTCCATAGCTGGCTACTATAATTGTCACCATTATATTATCAATCAGCTACTGTTGAACCACAATAAGAAACACGAAAGCACTCGACGGTTGTTTCGTTCTGGAGCGACTCTTGTACCCGCAGCATTAGAACACAGGACCTCCGGCCTTGCGCGCGAACGCCTAGCCTCAGGACTACTGATCCAGCATCCAACGGTGATCCAAATCCCACGAGCAGCGGGAGTCGTGGATGGGCACTACTGACGAGTCCCGTACCAGGAGGAAACGTCAGTCCAGAGGTTCCGTGCTTCTAATGGTAGTCTAACAATGATTGATTGACGATTTCAGTGTGTAAAAAAAACACTTATCTTCATAACTTTATTTGAAAACATTTTCACCTTGTTGAATGTAACTTTGTTGAAATTGAAGTTAAAAACATTGAACCGGTAAATGACACGACAGTGACATTCATATGTTTCTTTCGTATGATAGTGTTAAGTAGTAGTCAACTAATTTGGAAAGTTAGTAATATTATACAGTCGTATCTCATCAAGTTACCTACAACTTATAATAATATTTTAGATTTATATCAAGTAGCACAATTTTGAAAAAAATAACTTTGCATTACAAACTAACTTCAGCCAGATAATTATATATGAAAGACGGATGAACGGTAGTTTTGTTAAAGTTCAGGAGTCGTAACCAGTTAGCACTAAAGACCTTATCAAGGCACTAATAAATCAATTCCAGGTCAAACAACAATCATGATACATCAAAACCATTCGACTAGTGTACATTTCTAACTTTACTTAAATTACAGTGATGTAGACAGGTACAAAGTTCAAAACTGAATCGAAAGCTAGGTGCAGGAGTCGTGGATGCGCACTGCCACTGATGAGTCCCAAACCAGGAAGAAACGGCCGTCTTGCAGTGCTTCCAGGCTTCTAATGGTGGTCTAACATTGATCGATTCATGGTTTCAAAAATGTGTAACTTAACAATCTTCACAACCTCGTAATGCAAATTACCTGTGCTCACTAGTGACTAGCTTCGTGAAGAATCTTCTCCGAGTTCTAGTGGGAAGACATGACCAGTGAAGTTCAAGCTGTTCGGGTGTAGACAGTAACTACTACCGAAGCCTGAGTATGAGGTTGCGCAACTCCGTGAACTGATCAAGTTAGACATTAACATCGTTAGATACCGACTCAGTGGTCTTATGGTTATGCGTTCGCGCACAATACCGAAGGTATCTAATGATGGTCTAACATTGATCGATTCATGGTTTCAAAAATGTGTAACTCAATAATCTTCACAACCCCGCAATGTAAATCGAAAAGTTTTTTATCGACTTTCGGTATTGTAATATCTTATCAACTAATGATAATTCAAGAGGTAATCATCTGTATTATTTATAGTCTACATCACAAACTGATCTTAGACAACCTACTGATGGGAATTAGAGGGGCGCTGGATAGCTATTCTGTCATAGTATTGAATTTCTCAATATTACATCATTGCCAACCGGTCGAATCGGCGATGCGTAGGTTTCGTGAAAAATACTTATTTCTTAAATTCAATAATTTCCTCACACACACATACACACATATTCTGTTCTAACTAAACAGTTTTTTTTTCCAAAGATATAAATTTATATTACGGGGTTGTGAAGATTGTTAAGTTACACATTTTTGAAACCATGAATCGATCAGTGTTAGACTACCAATAGAAATCTGGAAGCACTGGACAGTCGTTTTTTCCTGGTATGGGACTCATCAGCAGTGCACATCCATGACCCCTGCACCCCGCGGGATTCGAACCCAGCACCTTCGGTATTGTAGGCGGACGCCCTAAACATCGGACCACTGAGCCGGTATCGAAAGCTGGTAATGTCTAACTTGATCAATTCACGGAGTTGCGCAACCTCATAAACAGTCCTTGGTAGTTACTGTGTATACCCGAACTGGTTGAACTTCACTGGTCACGACTTCCCACTAGAACTTGGAGAAGATTCCTCACGAAGCTAGTCACTAGTAAGCACAGGTAATTTGCATTACGATGTTGTGAAGATTGTTAAGTTACAGATTTCTAAAACCATGAATCGAGGAGTCCCATGAGGAATCCCATACCAGGACGAATTGGCCGTCCAGTGATTCCAGGTTTCTAATGGTGGTCTAACATTGATCGATTCATGGTTTCAAAAATGTGTAACTTAACAATATATCTTTATCTTACAAAAAATTAAAAACAAACTATTCTCATTATTTTATTTATTTTTCATAGAATCATATTTAAATATCACAGAATTACCTATTCAACAAATCATCATTGGATTAGCCAATTCACATGAATCATCATCCTCTGTACCAATCAACTCTAGGTTTAACCAGATTACCGGTTATAATGGTGACATAGCATACTTTCTATACAATGGCCTTGAACTAATGCCACATAAGAAAATACAATTACCTAATCATGATGATACAATGAGTCATAGTAATCTTGAAAACATCTTTGCATATCCATTGAATCAATGGATAATAGAATTCAATGCTCAATTATTTGAGCATCATCATCATCATCACTCCAGTCATAAACAACCAATCAGTTATGATTTTCCTCCTATACAATTTAAACAATCCAAATGTTATCTTTCAATGATGATCAATGAACGTTTTGATTATTATGTAGAATTTATAGTGAAATTTTCTTTTCAAACATCAATTGATCAAGGATTATTATTGTTTATTGTTAACACATTAAATGATCATTTTTTGTTGATTGAATTGTTCAATAGTCAATTATTATTTACAATATATTTTAATGATGAATTAATAACACAAACAATAACACCAACAATGAACAACGACGTAGTATTGTTTAATGATTCACAATGGCATACAGTGGAATTATTTAGGTGAGAAAAAGTTTTATGTAATGAGTCTCATACCAGTGTGGTGCAAGCTACTTATAAGTAGTAGTATATGACGTGAGTGTCAACGTAATGTCTGGCAGCAGAAGATGGGGGAAGATCAAGAAAGGAAGAAGAGTTAGAAGAACACAATGGAATTTGTATGAAACACATGAATAGTGACAATGGATTGATGTTGTTTGCAACAGGAACAGTCCAGTTCGATATGATGAACTGATATTTTGCAAATTAATTATTTACCTTTTTTTTCTGATTTTACTGAGTAACTCTGTAATTTTCGTCAAATACAATTCGGTTGCCCTCACCTGTGTTCTCGTTCACTACACCAGGATGAAGCGGCTATCCCGAGCTTGTGGATGTCTAATGATGATCTATCATCAATGACTGACTGGTTAATGATTTCAGCGTGTATAACTAACTATCATCCTATTTTTTATCAACGATAGAGATATTTATTATTATCATGACAGTTATATATGTAATGTATATTATGTTGAAGAATAAAATATCACAAAATAATTCTAAATAATTTGATTCAATCAATATCAGCTTACTTACTGACACCTGTGACCCCCAATGGAGCACTGGCCGCCGACCAGCATTTTCCAACCTACTCAGTCTTTGGTCTCCCCTTTCCATTTCTGTCCAAATTTTGTTCATGCTTCTTGTGTCTGTCTCCATTTCTTGGCATACTATGTTTCTTTGGCCTTCCTCTTTTCCTTTGACCTTGAGGATTTCAAGCGAGTAATTGTCTTGTGACACAGTTAAGTGGTTTTATCAATGTTTGTCCTATCCACTTTCACCACTTCTTCCTGATTTCCTCCTCCACTGGAATCTGGTCTATTCTCTCCCACAGTACGTTTTTGCTGATGGTGTACGGCCAACGAATCGAAAGTATTTTGCGAAGACAACTAACTGTTCATAAATATTTGTATCTTGTGGATGATGGCTTTGGTAGTTCTCCAAGTTTCCGCTCCATACAGTAGAACTGTCTTGACATTTGTATTGAAAATCCTGATTTTGGTATTTTTGTTGAAAGTTGTTTGGAGTTGCAGATATTTTTCAACTATAGAATTGCAGCCCTTGCTTTGCCAATCTGCGCCTCCACATCTGATCCCAGTTAACATATCTTTATTATCAACGTAGGTTTGTAAAGACTTTATAGAATTGGACATAAACTCTTTATAAACAGGTCACCATTTCACTTTACTAGGTAAAGTACACGTTACGAAGTTGTGAAGATTGTTAAGTTACACATTTTTGAAACCATGAATTGATCAATGTTAAACCACCAGTGCAACTTACTGATTTCTTCTTCCACTTATATGCTATTAACCCTGATTAAATAATTCATCAAATACAACTCCGCCTAGGGCTACTTCAGGTACCAAGTGTGAATAAAGGAGAAGGGGCGGGAATGAGGTTCATGACCAAAACACGTAAAAAATCAACTTGCTAAAAACTTTGTATTATTCTGATATAATATTTTGAGTACAGTCATCGTAAGTTTGTGCAGATTATTGAGTTTCCTTGAAAATCATGAATCGATTAATGTTAGATCACCACTGGGAAACTAAAAACACTAGACAGCTATTTAGTTCTAATATGAGTGAGACTTATCAGCAATGAGCATCCAACATCCCACAAGCGAGAATCAAATTCAAAGCTTTTGGTTCCACATACGAACGCTTAACCTCTCGACCACTGACATCACAGTTCATATCATCGAGTATACCATGTTTTATTTGTAACCATGAATCGATCAATGTTAGACCACCATTAGAAACCTGGAAGCACTGGACGGCCGTTTCGTCCTGGTATGGAAGAAACAGCAGTGCGCATCCGCGACTCCTACACCCCACAGGATTCGGACCCAGGACCGTCGGCGTTGTGCGAGAATGCCCTAACCGTTAGACCACTGAGCCGGTATCTAGCGGTGTTAATGTCTAACTTGATCAAATTCACAGAGTTGCGCAACCTCATACACTGTATACATCCGGACAGGTTTGAACTTCACTGGTCACGACTTCCCACTAGAACTCTGAGAAGATTCCTCACCAACCTAGTCACTAGTGGACACATGTGATTGCATTGCGGGGTTGTTGTGAAGATTGTTAAGTTTTATTTGTAACAATGAATCGATCAATGTTAGACCACCATTAGAAACCTGGAAGCACTGGACAGCCGTTTCGTCCTGGTATGGGACTCATCATACCATGTGTAATGTACGAAAACATGTAATAATTCTGACCAGAATGAAAACTTTATCTAACTGTTTCCAACTTACGGGAATTTTATTTATTATGAGTAATATATATGAAGCATAGGTTAACTTTAGCTCAGAAAAAGTACTTTCAAAATTCTTCCATTGAATTTTTTTGTTATTTCAGGGCGAATAAAGACAGTAGTAACATACTGACACTTCGAATAGATGCACAAACACCAATTGAAACATTTACAAATATACATTTAACTGAACTAGTTAATTTTAAACAATTAATTTCAAATGCTGTTATCAATATTGGCGGTTGTTCCATGTTGGATTTAATAAAATTTCAAGGTAAAATCAAATCGAAATATGGCTTTCAAGTAAGTTTGTTTATGTTTGATTTATGAGAGAATTTATTTGAAATAAAATAAGAATAATGAATTTTATTCAGTGATATGATGTTTTCATGTTTTTTTAAGACTTAGAACAGGATTTTATTAGATTCTGTTTACATGTAGCTATGAACTCAAGCAAAAAATAATAAATCCCGTATCAAATACACCCAGCTCGATTGGCTTTTGCCAACCTGCATCACTTATGGCGAGATATCCGTTTGCTAACCAAAGGACGCGTGTACTGCGCGGTAGTTCGCTACGTCCTACTATACGGATGTGAAACATGGCTGTTAAGAGTAGAGGACTTTCGTAGGTTACTAGTCTTCGATCATCGGTGTCTCCGAAGCATTGCTCGTGTATCCTGGGACAACCGTATAAGCAATGCTGTCGTTAGGAAACGAGTTCTAGGTAGGGATGTCAAATCAATAGATGAAGTAATGAGACTTCATCAGTTGAGGTGGTTTGGACATGTGTTGTGTATGCCTAACCACCGACTGCCTCGTCGAGCTATGTTCTGCGGTATAGGAATAGCTTGGACGAAATCTAGGGGCGGCCAAACCAAAACATAGCAGAAATGCATGAAATCACTGACAAGTGTACTGAGTCATGTCGGTTGGTGTTGACTACCTGGTTGGAGTCTGCGAGATGATAATAATCGATGGTTAGAGACCTTGAATGACATGGCTCAAAACCATTTGCAATGGCACAGATGCATTTACTCTTTGTGTTCTATGAAATTCCTCATTACCTATATCTTTCTCTCTCTAAATTCACCTCACTGAATTAGATTTCTTGAATAACGTCTTCGTATCCTAATCTCTCCGGTTATTTCTATTGCTTTTACTACCTCTACTACTATGGGATTCGAATTGACAATTATATCTCTGTGCTAATGCGGCATGGTAACTTGAACCGCTGTACTTACGTGCAAAGTACTACGTTGCTGTTGATGATGATGATGATGACACCCAATTGATCAGCCTTAAACCGGTCGGAATTCAAATTCTAGACTCCATTGTTGGACACTATCCAACTTTGTTATATTTCAATGTAACCCATTATTGTCTAAACGATTCAACCCATTAAATCAGTCATTCTAATCTGGTCAGGTATTTTATGATCTTCTGATTCTACTCTCTTATTTGTGAACTTGTTAATGATATTTATGTGTGCTTAGCTTATGTATGTGTCAATCATTTATCCTCTCACTGACTATTTGTGCTTTCTCCACTGAGTTGCACATTCACTCTGCCTTCAGTGAATTAGGTTGTGTGAAATATGTTTATCTGAAACGACTCTGGCATTCAATTTTCAATTTCTAAGTTGTATTAAGGTGACTGATGGATATGAGTCATATGGAGTCAGACATGAGCATTTCTGCAGTCATTGTCGTTGCCTTAATCGTTAAGAATGAAATTGTTAATTTTGTAATAAAATTATCTAGTTAAACGATGGTAAATGATATTACATTTTGATTTCAAAACAGTTTGTAATTCATCAGGTACACAATACAATGAATGTACTTGGTTTCGAATTATACTCTAAGTGTCAATGTTACTACATGGTTTTCTTTGGCGATATAGAGCCTATGACCTAGTCATTGAAGATCAGAAGCTTGTGGTGGTGGTGTTTGTTTCTCTGAGCTGAGTGTTTTGGTTGTGGAACTTTCATTGTTAACCTATGATTTTCCAATCAGGAAAATCATAGGTGACATGGGATCAAGAACCTGATCAAAAGGGGATGCAATCAAAACAAAGGTGTAAACAACGACATGTTTAAGGTCAACAGCAACCAATCAAGATCGAGGTTAGCAGAACAAGCTACAGGTCAAACGTGTAGAAATTCGAATTCTTCACTTCTATCTGAAGTTTGTGCTGATGATGTTGTTCAGTAGAAGAACAATGAAAGCTCCACAACCGAAACACCCAGCTCAGAGAACCAATCACCACCACCACAATCATCCACCTGAGTTACAAATCTTCTCCACCATCTCAAGATCAGAAGCCTTCGCCTCCAAGTTGATTATTCATTTAGACAAACACATAATTTAAAGTGGAAATATGAATAATCGTAATAAGCATTAGTAAATGAATGTCAAGCATACTTCGACGTAATTGGTTTACACAAAAGCTTGTTCAGATTTGATTAACATAGTCTCATGTTGAAACCAATGTCTAACACAAAGGATTATACAGCTGATTGTATCATAGTCTATGATGAACCACAAAACAACATAGAATGCACTATCATGTTTGTGCACTTACATGTGTATGTGTGTGTGTACACACGTGATTTGTGATTGAGGCTGGTAAAACAAATAGCCAAGTTATAGATTTAAACTGATAGAAGCTATCGTAATGGTATATATGTAAGTTAAGAAGTGAACTCTTAGATTTTACAAAAGATTAGTCATGTGAGTGAAGGTTCGAATGTTTTTATTTCAACCTTCAATAAGACTCGTATTTATACAGAACCTAGTTTAATTAATCACAACCGACTTCATAGTTTGCTTCACAGCCTGGTATTAGTTAGACGACCATTAAAAACCAGTGGTAAATCGATAGCTTCGTTCTAATATGGAACTAATCAGCAGTATTCATTCGGACGGATTGAATCCCGAACCATTATATCTTGTACTGAGTACTTAACCTTTAAATCGCTTAGTTGTGGCTTACACATTTCTTGGGTTAATGTCTAAAATTCGACGGAATATTAGTATAAGGAAACAATTAAAGCGAAAAAGCTTTATGATTACGCAATAGTTATGTATTTATTGTATAATTAACTGATTTTGACATTTCTTTTTTTTCCAATAATAAAATTACACAATAGGGTTGTATTGCCAATTTTCAATTGAACCATCATTCAACAGTCAATCTTTTACAAATGGCTAAAATATATCCGAATCAGAAATGTAATGATCAGATAGTTTATGGATGTCAATCAATGACATCCGGTTGTGCATTGTCACAAATGAAAACTAGTAATACTAATAATAATAATGTATACACGCTTCAATCAAGTTTTTATGATCTTCAATCATCAAGTGACGATTTGAGAAATGTACACATGTGTTATAATGATGGAAAATGTTTGGACAGATGGCATACATTTTATTGTGCATGTGATTTTACTACATTTCAAGGTCAACAGTGTAATGAAGGTAAAATGGTTTGTTTTACTGGCAAGAATTTAAACACTTTCAATGCTCAATATTTTTGTGCTTATTTATTTAGTGGGTTCTGGATATGAGAAAGTGTAGATTTTTTAATTGGAATTTACATTTCTAACTCTAAATTTTATGAATATTTTTCATCTGGCGATACTGGGTGGACTGCGCTACACTGACATATTGATTACAGTTAGTTGTGGATAACTTTAGACGCTTAAAATGAACTTTTTAATGGAAAATTGTACTGATTATGTAAACAATTGAAAATTAAAGTATCTGCTTTAATGTTAAGATCAACCTGTCATTTATGGAATTCTCCTAATACAAAGCTGATCCTCTAAACTTATTGTCATTTAAGTTAACCAATAAATCCATATGGCCAAGATAAAGTAGTTCACAATTAAAATCATTAGCAGTTTGTATAATTAGGTGAAACTTTATATCTATCTATCTATCTATCTATCTATCTATCTATCTATCTATCTATCTATCTATCTATCTATCTATCTATCTATCTATCTATCTATCTATCTATCTATCTATCTATCTATCTATCTATCTATCTATCTATCTATCTATCTATCTATCTATCTATCTATCTATCTATCTATCTATCTATCTATCTATCTATCTATCTATCTATCTATCTATCTATCTATCTATCTATCTATCTATCTATCTATCTATCTATCTATCTATCTATCTATCTATCTATCAGCTTTGTCTCATTCAATTCTTTTAGTAATACGTGTGTAAATTACAGTCAGTATAAATGTCATATGCCAGGATTTCTCAAAACTGTTGTTAACTTTCAAAGTATATTGTCAATGGACTGAAGTGTTTGAGATTTGTATAATGTATGGTTAACTAATACCTCTTTCAAAATTCAATGTTTTTTAATGTAGGAGAAGTTAGATGAAAGCCCGAAAACTGACGAAATTAAGTTATGGATGGTATCAAACTATGAAATCACCTCTGCTGAACTGAATCGTATTGGTTTGTTCAGACTATCTGGTTTAGGCGTACATTTCAATCAACTAAATCGATGGTTAATGTTGGATAGATCGAAATGGCATAAATATATTTATTATTGATGACAATACGATTAGTTCAACTCCATATAACTATTCATTGTTGTAGGGTTCGTCACTAGGTACGCTTGAAGCTATTACGAGTTCACCTCAGTCGATAAACGCGAACGACACAATTACCAGAGTCCAGGTAGGCTACCTTCAATCCCAAGCTGAAGAAAAAAGGCTTTGTAAGCGTAGAAAGTGTATTCTACAAACACCCAGCAATCACAATACAATCAAGCATACAACTCTCGTTTATTTATACATCATAGAAACGTCTTTGGGAAAGTTACGAAAATAGTACACTAAAATACACAGCAGCCAATCACAGCCATGGATTTTCGTGTTGGGAAATGCAATCTCAAGGTCAACTGATCAGCCTATGCTCGCGAACGTGAAATCCAAAATAAGGCATTCAAGAAGCGAGTTCTAGGGATCTAACATACCCAATAATTGTGTTAATTTTATACAGTCTTTTTGATATGATTAGGCAACCTGGACTGACGCATATTTGAGCCAGGTTCTGCATGGATGATGACTGACCGACTAGTAGCTATTTTGCTGGCGTATTACTCAACTGTTTATATAGAATCACAGAAAATATATCGAAGCTGACTAGTTGATACATCAACTTAATAGTGCCATTGTTTTCAGTTTCATCATGAGTACATCGATTGGACGATATATATGTATTTAATGTACATAATTTCAAACCAATGTTCTGAGTTTCCATATAAATTAAATTACCTAACGGTCTTTCTTTTCAAATTTTTTAACCTAATGTAATTGTAAATATTATGATAGGGTGTAGTAGAGAGTTTTGGATTCTTTAAATGAACATCACCAAATGACAATTGGCAAAGACTAGAAATCAATGGACAACTTTCGCGTACGAGTATGCAGTAACCATTCCATTATCGGCACGACTCAGAATCTTCAATCTCGTAAAAAAACTGATACAACATTCTTCAGTAGTGGTTTATACGTTCACTTTCAATCATCGTAATCAGTAACAATGGATGAGACATTTATCCAGCCAGTAATTCCTTATTTTCAGCAGTTGTCTAACTAAGAGATGAGTCCGTCATGTAAATGATAATTTTTTTCAGTTAGATTTATTGAGATTAGTGTTGTTACATATTGAAATCATCAATCAATCTCTAGATTGATCAAAGTTAGACATTAACACCGGTCCAGAGGGTCCAGAGGTTAGTAGACGTTCGTGCGCAAGACCCAAAGGTTCTGTGTTCGAATCCTGTAATGCGTAGAAGTAGTGTATGAGCATTACCAGGAAGAAACGGCCGTCCAGTACTTCCAGTACTTTCTAATGGTGGTCTATCAATGAGTTCAACGTAAAGTTTATGCATAAAGCTAAAGATTACACATTAAAATAATTTACATTTTACCAAAATAATTGTTAATGCTGTTTGCATTTTTTCTAATAATAATTTATCATTTGTAATTAATTAGTTGGCACAACGTTACATTTTGGTAAAATCAATTCAATCAATGTTCAATTGTTCAATATTAATGAAACATTAACTCCATTAAAACAATATACTGGATTTGTACAATTTCAAATTGAATATCCAACTATTTCAACAATATTAAAGAATGATGCATATTCTACTGTAAATGATATATTCACTTTAGGAATACAATTAGATGTAAATGCGTTACATCATATTGATAAGTTAAAATCATCTGATAATAATAATCTGATCATTACTTTATTATATGCTACAAATCAGCATCAAAATAATCTGACTTATATTCATGTCTATTTGGTAAGTAGTAATTGATGATTATTGTAAAGTTTTGGTGGTTTTGTGTTTTTACACATTTTGAAATCATCAGTCAATCATTTTTACTAGACCACCATTAGTGAAACCTGGAAGCACTAGACGACGGCCGTTTCGTCCTGGTATGGGACTACTCATCAGTGGCGGTGCGCATCCACGACTCCTGTACCTCGCAGGATTCGAACCCGGGACCATCGGTATTGTGTGCGAATGCCTAACCTTTGGAGAACTGGGCCGGTATCCAATGGTGTTAATGTCTAACTCTGATTGATCTAGGGATTTTGCGAGACGTCACCCATTTGTCTTTGGTAAAGTTAGATTGTATTTGATAGACCAAACTAGTAAGAACTTTCATAGTGTGTTTGTCAATAACCTAAGATTGGGGTGATAAAATCCAATGGTGTCAGTTCGGGTGTGAAAAGTTTAGACAGTAGGATCCAGTGTTCCATGAATACAGTTGAGTATGTTTTATACCTTAAATAATGTGACCAAATGATAGTTTTGCTTTTTAATTGAGCAACAGACCAGATGAGAGGGAATCCCTTATCGTTTATAAACGCGAAAACCTCCAATGTCAGAACTTAGGTCGTATATATTTCTAAGCTTGCGAAAACAAGGGAAGAATAATAAAATAATCGGATATTTGAAAACTGACATAGTATTCTCAGAATTATTCCTGCTTTCAGATTATGCTGTGATATATTGTCCAAGTGTTTGGCGCTCATCAATAATGCTTGTTAATTGAATTATTACTGTTAACGGCTGATTGTGAATTGTTGTTCAATCGTTCAATTGTTCAATTATACATGACCGAAATCATGAACTGATCAGCGTTGTTGGATCATAATTGAAAAGTTGGAAGCAAAGGATGGGTGTTTAATCCTTGAATGGGACTCATTTGCAATGCACATGTACGACCCCGACAGTGGGAATCGAATCCAGATCCAACATTAGTCAGTTCATGATTTTAATTAGAACTCAACAATCTTCACAACTAATAATATTTAAGTAGGAAATTAGAATTTCACTGTCCTTGAACTATGCGTGATTTGTATAGTTTATCAAGCGCACCAATAATCTGACATTGTTACGCTCGTCTCTAGGTATGCTTGAAACTATTACGGGTTCACCTTAGTCGGATAACGAGAACAAAACAATAAACCAGAGTACAGGTAGGCTACTGTAATCCCTTGACCCAATGGTACCAGCAAGAAGTCTTGATATAGCGTAGAAAGTGTATTCTACACACACCCAACCAGCACACAATCAATCCAAGCACTCAAATTGCGTTTATTTATACTCTATAGAGACGTCCTTGGGACAGTCACAAAAATAGCACACTAAAATAACACAGTAACCAATCACGGCCAAGGATTTTCCTGATGAGAATTGCGATCTCAAGGTCAACTTATTGGTCCATGAAATAAATCCAAAATTGAGACAAATTTATCAAGCGAGTTCTAGGAATCTAACATCCCCAACACATTATGAAGAATATTCAATGATCATTTAGTGCGACATTGGTAACATCTCCGATGATAATATTGAATGATATATATATTCAAATTCCACTAGTAATTCTCTTAGTCATTGTGCAATACACAAACAACTTTGTTAAATGTTTCGTTGGACGAAATATAAATTTAATTGGCTAATGTGAAATACGATGAACGTGAAGAATTACATATATTCTATCTTATTTAAAGTTTGTCAGATATATACATATAATACATCTAGCTGATTAGTGTTGAATAGGAGAAAAAAAATGCACTTCCTGAATTTCTCTATTGATCACACACATTGAATATTCTAATACAGTTTAAAGATTTAAAAGATTTCATTCAAATATACAGTCTATAGTCAAAGAGAGGCAACTAAATAAACTATACAATGTTCAAGAAATTTAGATCAATTAAAGTTGTACATTATATATATATATATATATATATATATATATATATATATATATATATAAACTCTTTGGTTTAATTCACATAATAGTAGTCGTAGAGATAACATGAGAGTGTAGATCTATCAATGAGATTTTAGATGGTTGAAGATAGTTTTCAGGAAAACAAGGTCTTAGAAATCATGGTAATTGGCACTTGTTGTTACCAAGATAGTCCTGTGTTAAGGACTTCAGTCACTTATAACATAGAACTTGGTGCTTATGTGCATAAGTTCAGGTTGTCATGCCATACTTACAAAGAGAAGTAATTATCAATTATAATCCTATAGTGGTAGAGGTAGTAGAAGTATGAGCAGTAATCAGAGAGATGTGGATTCGAAAATATTATTCAAGAAGTAGAATCTAGTGAAATAAACTTAATAGGAAAAAGATAAAGGTGATGAAGAACTTCAAAGAAGTTTAGGATTTGAGAGAACACAAAAAAATGAATGCGCGTGCACCATTGCAAACGATTTTAAGCCATGTCATTCAGGGTCTCTAACCTTTGGTTACAATCGTCTCGCAAACCCCAACCAGGTAGTCTACATGACTCAGTCCACTTGACAGTAACTTCATGGATTTTTGTGCCATGTTTTGGTTCGACTGACCCTAGCTTTCTTCCAACATACTTCTACACCACAAAACATCACTCATTGAGGCAGTCGGTGGTTGTTGGTCTTTACTGAATAATTAAACAATGTAAGGATATTTATTCTGTTGTCTTGAAGAATATAAATCTCTTGAGGAATTACAGACTGTTCAATATATATACCTTGATTCCGAATGATCTCCCGCGTATTTCAAAATATATTATTAAAGACTTCTTTGAGTTTTTTTAATAGGGAATGATTTAATTACTAGAAAATGTCTACAGTAGATAAATGTATTGTAGTGAAGGAGAACACAGGTGAGGACAACCAAATTGTATTTATCGAGAATTACAGAGTTACTCAGTAAAATCGGAAAACCATATCGTAAATCGTTAATTTGCAAATCTTCAATCAATCATCAATCCATTGTCTGACAGTTCACTTATTCATCCGTTTCATACAAATTCCATTGTGTTCCCACTCTTCCTTTCTTGATCTTCCCCCATCTTCTGCTGCCAGACATTACGTTTACACTCAAGTCATATACTACTTATAAGTAGCGCACACCACAGTATTAGTTTCAAACCCATTTACATTATAAGCCTATTATCATTAGTCAATGCATGTTTGTTTGTTTTTTCAAACAAAACAATTTAATCTATCTATTATATACAGGAACAAGGATTTTTAAAAATGAAATTTTTATTCGATGGTTCAATAATGATTATCGATGGTCCAAAGATCAATGTACAAGATGGATATTATCATAGAATTCGAGGTATTCGATCCACTGATCAAATTCTTCTTGAAGTTGATCAATATCAAACTGTTTATCGTTTGTATAGTAAGTGAAAAGTATATTTATCATTTGTTGTTGTTTTATCATTTGTTTTAAATGTTTTACTGTCTACAGTTCAACTGGGTCATTAAAAGACAGATGAATAATTTTGTTTTAATAGAATTTGCCCATTTCGTAATGAGTTTTGTATAAATCGAAAGATTATTTTTGATATTGTACGTTATGTTTAATGGAATTTTAATGAGAGGTGTGTTATTATTATGCGAAATATGGATAAATGCACTGGACAATTGATTGTACAGTAATGTCGATTGCTTAAAGTTAAACATGTAGACCAGCTGTTTGGTCAAAAAGTTAAGTGATCCTCAGGAGATTTAAATACCGTAGATCTAATATGTGTCATGATACCGCGTGTGAATGGCTGAAGAATCTTCTGTTTCGGAGCAAAACAACAATTCGATCCCTATTTGTTTTCCAATAAATTTATTGGCTAGTATTGTGCCTTAAAATTAGGATGCATATTTCAGTCAGTCATTTGCAACGTAGAACTTCGTACGTATGTACATCAGTTCATGTTGCCGTACCACATTAGCATACAGACGCAACTATCATTTAAAATCCCATAGTGGTAGAGATTTTAGATGTATTAGCAGTAATCGAGAAGATTAGGGTTTGAAGATATTATTCAAGAAGTATAATTCAGTGAGGTAAGGTTAGAAAGACAAAGGTGGAGATGCTGACGAATCCAGAAGATTAGGATTTGAGAGAGCTCAACGAATGGATGCACTTGCGCCATTGCAAATGATTATGAGCCATGTCGTCTCTAACCATTGATGACTTTCGTCTCGCGGACTCCAACCAGGTAGTTTACATCTACCAAAATGACTCAGTCCACTTGTTAGTGACTTCATGCATTTCTGCCATGTTTTGGTTTGGCCGCCCCTAGCTTTCTTCCAATCTACTCCTACACCACAAAACATAGCTCGTCGAGGCAGTCGACGACATGTCCCAACCACCTCAACTGATGAAGTTTCACCACTTCATCTACTGATCTGCTATCCTTACCTAGTACTCGTTTCGTAACGAGAGCATTGCTTACTCGGTTGTACCACGATATACGAGCAATGCTTCTTAAACACCTATGATCGAATACTAGTAACCTACGAACATCTTCTACTCTTAACGGCCATGTTTCACAGCCATAAAGTAAGACGGAGCGAACTGCTGCTCAGTACACCCGTCCTTTGGTTAGCGAATGGATATCACGCCTACGCTATAAGCGAAGCAGGTTGGTAAAAGGATGCATATTTACTTCAAAATATTATCACCTGCTTAAATACATTCATATCTGTGTATGTGTGCGTGTGTGAACCAACTGACGAGAACTCAATGAAATCAAATGAATTCATGTTATTCAGCATAACTATTTATACTATTTTCAAAATGGTGAAAAGAATTTCTAGCTCAAGTGGTTGATTCTCGGAACTTCATGGTTTGGTTGTAGAGCTTTCATGGTTATTCTGAACAACGTTATCCTCACAAACTTCAGGTAGAAGTGAAGCATTCGATTTTCGCCATATATGACTCGTAGTTTGTCCTGATAAGCTTGATCTTGGTTTGTTCTTATTGACCTTTAACCTGTCATTCATTGCCTCTTCATTTAGACTGTATCACGTCATTGATTTGATTCGTGATTTTAGGCTTGGCTATGCTTTTTCTAATTGGTTGATCGGTGTTTGATCAGTGTTCAACCTATTTGTTGATTGTCAGCATTTGAAAAACAAGAATACTACTAATATTTTTTTAAAAAAATTTAGATCATATTAAGATGACGTTAAAAAGTTTCACAATTGTACAAGAAAAATGAGAAACAAATCACTTGAGTCATCAACTGTGATGACAAAAAACTGTGTACATGTTAAACTATTAGAGTTAGTGCTCAGGATAATCTTAAACTAAGGTTTAATAGTCGTTGGTACTTGCAAACAACGAGCTTTTGTTATCTTATTGGGTATTTAAATCTAAGAGAGAGGCAGAGAAAATCGTTCACTTTAATATGACAGATAAGTCTTACTTATGTGTAATTTAACAATCGTCACAACCCCGTAATGCAAATTACCTATGCTCACTAGTGACTAGCTTCATGAGGAATCTTCTCCGAGTTCTATTGGGAAGACGTCAAGAGTGAAGTTCAACCAGTAACTACCGAAGACTGTGTATGAGGTTGCGCAACTCCGTGAATTTGATCAAGTTAGACATTAACACCGTTAGATACCGGCTCAGTGGTCCGATGGTTAGGCGTTCACCTACAATACCGAAGGTCCTGGGTTTGAATCCTGTGGGGTGCAGGAGTCGTGGATGTGCACTGCTGAGGAGTCCCATACCAGGACTTGACGGCCGTCCAGTGCTTCCAGTTTTCTAATGATGGTCTATCATTGATCGATTCATGGTTTCAAAAATGTGTTACTTATAAGTACGAACTGTCATGAATACTTGGTCAAGGGTTTTCTGCTTCTGCCTCTATCCATTTAACATGAGAACACAATGTAAACTATATCGATACATTCATATAAGTGATCATTTAGGAATTTGATAGCTAGATTGTGACCCTAAATTGAAGTTTTAACAAATATGAGATTGATAGCTCAACATGACTTATTTACATAGATTTACTGCATACATTAAAATGACCATAGCACGAAAATATTTGCGAAGAAAATGAGTCGTTTAATTTTTTTTCTCAAAAAAATAAATAAACATTTCCTTAATTATTTTATTAAATGAAATGTTAATTATTTGGCTTACATGTTAGATGAGTTCACTACATTATGGAAAACACAATATATTTGGTTGGGTCATTCACCATTGTCTAATCAATCAGATTTTATCAAAGGTTATGTAACAGGTAAATGATTTTATTCCTTTTCATCCTGTTATTAGACATGTGATTATTATTATCATTATTATTAGTGTCTTTTATATTGTTACGTCTATAATATTCAGCTTTTGTTAGATTACCCTGTTGCTTGAGTATATGTTGTATACTGAGGAAAGTGGGTGCAACTACTTATCTAAAGAAATCTATAAAACAGGAGAACAAGTGTGTTACGCATGCACGTAAACACGTCATTTGATATGCTTGAACTATTACGAGTTTATGTTTGTCGGAAAATGAGAGCGAGGACTGAGGATCCGGTGAGATGACAAGCTGCTCTAATCCGAGCGTCCCAAACCCCCATTGAGTAAAAGAAGAAGACTTGATATGAAGTGGAACATGTATTCTACAAGCATCCAGAAAGTACGAGGTCCGAGTTCAGAAGAGAATAAGGACCCCGGACTAGGGATTCGGGTGTAGGTCCGAGTCCGGGACATAAAACGTTACAGATAATGCATATTTATACAGTTAGGTTGAGTAGGAAACAACCTTGAAGTCTGTGACATTGACAGTTTGGACGACCAATAGGAGGAATTGACCAATAGAATTAAACTTACAAACAATTATCTTAGGATATTGGATGAATATCCTGACAAAGAGATAAAAACTTAGTTAGCACATAGAATGCACTTAGATTTACAAAGAAAGCCAATCAACAATGATGAGTAACAAAACATCAGTTAAGCAAAGATAATTTTACAATTTAAACAAAAGGTTAACAACATAACGTTTGAAATGTAATATTAATATTATTACATTGAATAATCTACCAACATTAATTTATACTGTTTAGTTTTATATTGAAAAAACATTAGTTTTCAGTAGTGTGTATTTTTTCAGTAAGTAGTGTGCATGACATTCTAATCGAATTAAGTCTGTGATTTTATACTACTACTAAACATGACTTATAAGTAGTATGCAGTGGAGTGTCACTCAGAAGTTACTACTACTTAAGAGGTTAGTGTGAGTTTTGGGGTAAATAGTTCGATCAAGGTATTTTAAAGACTAGAAGAAATGTGAAAGAAGATAGCTAATAAGCAGCTTGATTTACGAACGGAAGTTTGGAGAATATTCTAGATCAGATATTTCATTTGGCGATCATTTAAAACTTTCCACTTAAACTCAGCATGTTAAATATATTGTATTACTTTGTAAGAAGAACATTCGTTCAATCTAAGGGTGATCAAACTGTACATGATGTTTCTAAATTTAAAAAGCACATTTCTTCATCTATCCTTCATGTACAGAATTTGTAGAATTATTCTTTGAAAATAGAACGACCTTTATGAAAACATTTTCGTCCATTCAGTATTCTCAGGAAGAAAGGAGTTCAACTTATTTTTATTGCTTAGCACAAATGATGTTTTTCAAAATTTCTATCAAATCGTAAATGGTTAGTAATGTATAACATTAAGAAAGACTGTTGTAGTTTCGTACCCTGTCTGTTGCCTCCCTTTCCTGTTCTGTCCAATTTTTGTTCATTCTTCTCATATCTGTCCCCATTTCTCGGTGTAATGTATTCCATGGCCTTCCGCTTCTCCTCTGACCTTGAGGAATCCAAGTAATGATTAGTCTTGTGACGTAGTTGGATGCTGTCCTCAGTATATGTCCTATCTACTTCCAGCACTTCTAACCTATTTTCCTCCTTTCACTGGAATCTGGTTTATCCTATCCCACAGTCAGTTGTTACTGATAGTGTCTGGTCAACGGATCCTCAGTATTTTGCGTAGACATCTATTAATAAACACTTGTATCTTCTGGATGATGGCTTTGATAGTTTCCCAAGTTTTCGCCCCATTCGTAAAACTGTCTTGACATTCTTTGAATGGTGGGAGCTAATTTACATGTTGTACGTAAATTTGTAATAGGTAGCTTTTCGATTGTAATACAGTATTTACTGGGATCTATGAAATATATTTGATATGTGAAAATAAATACGAGTGACTAGTGCATCATAATGAACTTAATCTCGACAATTAAATGAGTTGTAAGAATGAAGGAGCTGCTTCATCGTCGAACGAAACTCCTCAGCAGTCAAGATTCATCAACGAATCGAAGATTCAATCCAAGAAATTCGGCCTAGCTCTAAAGAGTCTCATATTAGGATGAAACAGCTTTTCAGTACTTTCAGGTTTTCACACTAGTAGTCCAGTTAAAATCAGTTCGTTATTAAATTTATGAAAATTCTATAATCTTCCTAAACTCTTCTAGACTAAAATATTTTATTAGTGTCAACCAAAGAATAAAACGCTTTTAAACAAAATACTATCATTTCTAAAGGATTATATATATATATTATATATATATATCCGTTATAAGTGTCAAAGGAAACAGTTGGATAGTCTTTTGTAGTCACATGTTCAACTTTAGCGGCTTATTATGTAGTCATAAGGTTTTCTTGTAGTTTAATACTGGCCATCAACGGAATTTGAGGTAGGTGTGTTTTTTTTTCACACAGCCTCAAAAACTGTACTTTTTACTTTGATAATATAGCTCCGTGTATCATGCGTTTATCTCTCTCTCTCTTTCCATAAGCTTGATGTATTTTGTTTCTTACAATATGATTGTGTTTTTATTTCAGGAGTTTATTACAATGGATTACAATTAACTGATCTTGCATCTGGTTTACAACATTTAACATTTGTTAAAGTCATTCGATATGGTGAAGTAGAGCCAACAAATACATTTCAATTGAAATTAGGACCAAATAGTCCATTTAATATGTAAGTAGAATTTTTCTCTCTTTTCTGGTGGTAAGCAATACTCAAGTATACATGCACATACAAGCTCAACAATGGTTTAGTAGTTAAGGTGTTGCTGTACGGATGACACTTTGTTAAATTAGTTAGTCAAAATGACTTAACCAAATTAGACATAAACATACTCAACTATACATGAGGTACTTATTCTCTTTAGGAGAATCAAATTTGATTTGTGAACGAGAACACAGGTGGGGCAACCGGATTGTATTTAACGAAAATTACAGGGTTACTCAGTAAAATTGGAAAACCATATCGTAAATCGTTAATTTGCAAAATATCATTCCATCCTATCGAACTGGACTGTTCCTGTTGCAAAACATCAATCCATTGTCACTATTCATGCGTTTCATACAAATTCGATTGTTTTCTAACTCTTTCTTTCTTGATCTTCCCCCATCTTCTGCTGCCAGACATTACGTTGACACTCACGTCATATACTACTTATAAGTAGCTCGCATCACACTTGTACTCTATTGTATACTAAGGTTTCATGTCAGTATTTTGTATGTACAAACATATATCGGTAATACTCATCAAAATAAAAAGAGTATGGTGTTTATTTTAGCATGAGAAACTATCACAGGGATTTAAAAATGATAAGTTCATTTTTTTTAAATATTTATAAGATATATTAAAAGGTCGTCTGAATGCAAACTAAACTGCTTACTGATAATAAGTTGAACAGTGATTATTGTGCAGTGATAACCATTTTAAACATTGAAACATTGATGGTTTTAACGTACATTTCAAAAACAAAAAATATGTTCCATCATTCGAATGGAAACATCGGTATTTATTATTGAATGAAACTGTGGTGCGCGCTACTTATAAGTAGTATATGACGCGAGTGTAAATGTAATGTCTGGCAGCAGAAGATGGGGGAAGATCAAGAAAGGAAGAGTGGGAACACAATGGAATTTGTATGAAACGCATGAATAGTGAAATGTCAGACAATCGAGTGATGATTGATTGAAGATTTGCAAATTAACCGTTTACGATATGGTTTTCCTATTTCACTGAGTAACTCTGTAATTTTCGTTAAATACTATTCGATTGCCCTCACCTGTGTTCTCCTTCACTACAAAACTAGTTAAATAGTGGTCATCCTGTTGACAGGAATTATTTAATACATGGTATTAAATGATTATTTCAATCAGTGTGTAACTAATTTTCGTAATGATCAGTAAACTTGAAGCTTAACTTAAAAATTTTCGTTAGTTTACATCTCGAAGTAATTATTCTTAGTTAAAGACTCATTGAGAAATCAGAAAACACTACTGTGAAATTTATGATCATTGTACATCTACGATTTCACCAGGAATCGAACTCAATTCAATGCAATTCTAATGATAAGCAATGGACAGTCAATTTACGTTTATTTTCTTAAAATAATTTTTATATTCTTTCAGTGAATTCAATCCACGAAAAGGTAAAAAACACTTACACCTGTCAAAATCTTCATCACCAATTTTTAATTCATTCACACTTACAACAGATAGGATTACTAATTTCAATATACCTAATAATATAAATGATGAGTCATCATTACTCCCATTAGTATCATTATATTCTAAAACTTCCGAAATTCAACCAATCATAATCACATCTACAAAATCATTAAACATTGGATTATTGATTTGTTTAATTTTAACTGGTTTCATTTTAATTAGTTCATTTGGTTTTCTTATTTATCGTTGTATACATCAACAACATTTGGATGAATTTAGTAATAATAATAATAATATTAATAATAATGATATTGATAATAATATTAATACTAATCACATATCACAAACTGACCGACTGGATTCAATCAATGAATCAAATCTGTTACAATCAGTCGGGAATAATAAAGTGCATGAGTTCATGAGTCATAAAAACTATTCATCTATTGATCATAAATATCAAACCAGCTCAATGATATCACCACCACCACCACCTTCTTCATATTTCGTTGGTGTTAATCATAATGATAATAATAATAATAATAATAATAATAATAATAATAATGATCAATATGTGAATAATACAGTCGATAAATTACAAACATCATTATATTTGAACAATGAATCATTTCCATGTTTATTAAATCAAGTTCCAACAACCAATCAAAATAAATCTTCACTACAGTTCAACAATGATCAACAAATTATTCATGATGATTACAAGTTGAACAGGTATAAGAATTTCTCTACTTTGTCTACAATACAGAATAATAATCACAATCACAAGAATAATAATAGTAATAATAATAATAATGATAATAATATGCTGAACTATACTAATTTCTTTACTTATCACCCTCAAAAATATCATAATTTATATAAATCTAGTATAAATGATTTTACTTTTGTACAAAATAGACAAGCTATGTAAAGTTACATATACATATATATCATGTGTGTGCTAAATTACGTGTGTGCGTGTGTGTGTGTGTGGGGCTGACTGACATTATATATAACAATTTCTGATTGTTCCACACTATAATGTAACAAAAATTATAATTTATATTATTATCACATTGTATTTACATGTTTCGGTGTCTTTCAAATCGTGCGCGCGCGCGCGCGAGAGAGAGAAATAAAGTTATGCAACAGGGTACACTGATATTCTGTTTGAAGTTCAGTAATTTAATGAATAAACACTTTTGCTTCCGTTTCTTTTGTTTTCATTTACTTCAAGTAGTTAGGAGTTCTTTGTGATTGTATTACAACTGTATAAGCGGATTATCTCTTTCCATATTGTTGCATTTTTCAAATCAAGTGTACAAGTTATACATACAATCAGATTTTCTGTACATGTTCAATGATGTATGTATGAATGATCTTTACCAAAAAGGAAAAAATAATTCTATTTCATTTTCTTGTGATAATGAAAAAACAACAACAACAATTTCATTTCCACTCCTCGTTCAATGTTCATTTCTAGGAAAAACTTAGAATTTTATCAATTCAATAAATTGGACATTGAACGTAATCTTGACTTTATTTACATAAATAATGGGCTCATTTCCTGTAGAATTAATTAGAGTTTTATGAATTACACAATGTAGTAATTCAGTTCGCTGAAACATAATAATAATCCGATTTAATTAAGAAAGTTATAGAACTTGTTGGGGACGTTAGATATCAAGAACTCACTTAACAAAGGTCCTAATTTTGGACTTTTTATGTTTTCACGCATAAGCCGCTTAGTTGACCTTCAGCTTACATTTCTCACTTGGAAAATTCTTCACTGTCATTGGTTGACATATTATTATAGTACTCTATTTTTGTGGCTCTCTCAAGGACATTTCTATCATGTATAAATAAGCTCTATTTGTGGGTTTATCGACCTCGTATTTTCTGGCTGCATTTAGAATACACTTTCTACGCCTTATCAAGACTTCTTGATATAGTTAGCCGGGCACTGTATCGTTGATCTTCGTTCAGTTCACTGACTAAGGTGAACTCGTAACAGTTTCAAGTATATTAAGTGATGAGCATAACGGAACTGCACTTCAGTAACAATACAGTTGAACTAAAGTAAATTTAGACATTTAATCTGGAAGAAAGGAATAGCAACAGGTTTTTACATTAAAATAAATTCTTATGCATAAATTTTAATATTTTAGAAAAACAATAGAATTAAAATTTAACTAATTATGTAATTTCATTGTTGAAATATTTTGTAACTGAAAAGAATCAAATGAAATCACATAAATTTTATAAAATTTCACTACCACGTTTCATACAAGTAATTCCGATTAATTTTGATAAATGTAAAGAGGCTGAATTTGTGTTATTCACACCAAACACTCATTTTTATATTCTGAACTGAAATTACTAACTTGATCTTTATGGTGAAGTTTGATTGTTTGTATTGTATGACTTGCTTGTGGAGAACTTTCATGGTTCTTCTAAACACAACATTATCAGCATAGACTTCATTCAGGTAGAAGTGAAGCACTTGAATTTCACCATGTATGTATGACTTGTCATTTCTCTTAGGTGATCTTGATTGGTTGTCACTGACCCTTAGTTTGTCATTCATTGTCTGCCTCATTATTTGGATTGCATCGCCCCTTCGATTTGGTTCTGTCGATAATTTCTCTGATTAAATGATAAACTGGATCAATGTCCGATGTATATTTGATGACTGACGAATGATTGACTTGATCGCCAAGCTTCTAAAAATTCTCTACTCTTTTTCCTGCATCCTCTATCCAGTACTGAATACAAAAACTGAGCTACAGATTGGTCTCTATCATTTCATAACTTGATCTCAGTCTAATGATAATTCGATCTTTAGAATTTAGAAAAACAACGGTTTAAAAATTAACATCTTTCTACAGAACATATTTTAGTGAAGGAGAACACAGGTGAGGGCAACCAAATTGTATTTATCGCAAATTACAGAGTTAATCAGTAAAATAGGAAAACCATATCGTAAATCGTTAATTTGCAAAACATCAATCCATCGTCAACCCATTGTCTGACATTTCACTTATTCATGCGTTTCATACAAATTCCATTGTGTTCCCACTCTTCCTTTCTTGATCTTCCCTCATCTTCTGCTGCCAGAGATTACGTTTACACTCGCGTCATATTTGTTTAATTTCGAATTTAGAAGATCTGTATGTCGAATTAAATCATTCATTTAAAATGAGAATTTCAATTGATCAGAATGTTTTTAGTCTATGATTAAGTTGAGGATGTTAGATCCCCAAAACTCGCTTGTTAAATGCCTTATTTTGGATTTCACGTTTGTGAGCATGGGCTGATCAGTTGACATTAAGATTTCATTTCCCACCAGCAAAATCCATGGCTGTGATTGGCTACTGTGTATTTTAGTGTGCTATTTTGTGTGACTGTCCCAAAGACGTTTCTATGATGTATAAATAAACGAGAGTTGTGTGCTTGATTGTATTGTATTGTAGAATATACTTTCTATGTTTACAAAGCCTTTTATCTTCAGCTTGGGATTCAAGGTAGCCTACCTGGACGCTGGTTCATTGTCTCGTTCGCGTTTATCGACTAAGGTAAACTCGTAACAGCCTCAAGCATACCTAGTGATGAACCCTACAGATTATAATAATGACAGTATAACAAGATTACTTGCTTGTTATTTCAACTATACCAACACAAACACAACAGCTTTCTGAATTTATTGGGTTTTTTTACTATCTGATTAATCTAATTGTGAGACATTGATCGTCTGTGTCGGCAATATCATTAGTACCATCTACTTAATTCTCCATAGTTGATCATCAAATGTCTGTCTGTGTTTAGGGTGACTTGGAATTTGAGTGGCTGATTACTGTAATTGTATTATCGTTGTCCATATTCTTCCCAAAAAATTCTCCTTTGAATTGATCACTGACTGCGTAGATTTTTAATACTCTATTCTTATTGACTTCTGAATTGAATCGACTTTGATATAAGTAGATGCTTGTAAAAACTAAACTATTTATGACCTCTGGAAACGTTCTTCTTGTAAAGTCAGTCCAATTACCCACTTGGAAATTTCTAATCGTTGGTTTTTGTTTGAAAAATTGATCAAATAACACAACACATTCAGAACTCATCTAATGAGTCAGAAATATTTATTCTTCACTATGGAAAAAAAACACCAAATATTTAAAAAGAATGTGCAAAGATTTAGAAATGCTGTTCCTTTTAAAGCAGGCGATTTGAGACGCTTAAATTAACATTTTTGAAACCATGAATCGATCAATGTTAGACCACCATTAGAAACCTGGAAGTACTGGACGGCCGTTTCGTCCAGGTATGGGACTCCTCAGTGTTTGATTAACAAAGCAAGAGTTATTCAGCACAAAAAAAGTTAACTCAAAAGTTACATACTGATATGTGTGTGTATGTGATAAGGCGATTCGTAAACAAATTTTGCCATACCTATGTAGTATTAATAACTCTGCCTGGAGCCCATCTTGGGTTACTGCCAGTTCAAGGCCCGGAAAATGGAGGAGGATTGGGCGTAGAGTTATAGAACCCATCACGTAGAAAACTACGTAGTATGAATAATCACATTCTCACTAATCGATAACTTCGAGAGGTGATTTCCAAGATTAGTGGAAGTCAGTTATGTCCAATGTGAAGCAATTACTCATCAACAGCTGAAATGTTGTCGATCGAAGATCTAACTGACTAGAGTATCAGTTACCTATGATAGTGATCTATTTTTTGCGATGGAATATAGTATTTCATAATATTTCATAAAGGTGTAATCATATTAGTTAAATTTGTCAATTATAAACGTTTAACTTTATGATATATATTTGTTCATCAACCAAGTTACTCATTAGTTTGTGTCAAATACTTCACAGTCTAATCTAGAAGTTGAATATTCTCTATGAGACAAGCATGTCTTGCTTGTGTTTGATCCCGGGTGAGATCTTGGATGCATAATGATGAAGAGTTCTGTTCAATGTTGATAAGTTTTTTGTTTAAGTAAGATCAGTTCGTGATATCTATCGCCTATGAAATAATCATTTGTTATGTAAATATTTTTTAGGAAAAATTTATATAGTCAAAGAGCTTGTACAAAACATCAAATAGTTGTTGTCATCATTAATTAACAGAACGATTCAATTAAGTTGACAGTAGATTTATCAAATAGTTGTTAAACATTGCTGTTAAACTTATTTTAGAGAATCCTTTATCATACAGTACTGATTTGTCTCAAAACAAAAGTAATATATTTTTGTTGATCAGAAAAATTCAGTAAAAATTTTATTAACTGGCGAAATGAATGATAAGTGTTATTGAATATAGAATTTGACAACAGGGAAAAAAGTGAGATAAAGCGATAAGTGAGATTTTTAAGCGGAGCAGCTGGATAGTGAGTGGCTAACTGTAGTATCTAGGGCGGTTGATTTCGTTCACCTCAGAATTGATGTTCACTTCTGCAATCAAATCCACTGGAGGACATATATCAAAAGAAATTGACTGACCGCAGTACTTGACATCAACAGTGGAGAAATTCAAACTATTAAAACTGGAATATATATATATATATATATATATATATATATATATATATATAAACGAAGTGACGGTAATTTAAATTACTTACTTACTTACTTCTGTTACCCCAACTGGAGCATAGGCCGCCCACCAGCAGCATTCTCCAACCAACTGTGTCCTGGGCTTCCCTTCCCATTTCTGTCCAATGTTTGTTCATTCATCTCATATCTTTCTCTATTTCTCGGCGTAATGTGTTCCTTGGCCTTCCTCTTTTCCTTTTGCCTTGAGTGTTCCGTGTGAGGGCTTGTCTCGTGATGCAGTTAGGTGCTTTTCGTCATGTGTGTCCTATCCATTTCCACCACTTCTTCCTGATTTCCTCCTCCACTGGAATCTGGTTTGTTCTCTCCCACC